CTGATGAAGATTTGCGCCGATTGGGGATTGATCCAAGTCTCTCTAAACAAGAAATTGCCAGACTTCTCAAGGTTTCTATGACTTTGACATTAAAAGATCATTTTCAATCCATGTAGGAAATTTGATTTAAAAAATAAATTCTAATCAGTTAATAATCATTTCTTTTTCAAATCTCAGATCAATATTGTTAGTATATTTCATAAAGATATATTTTTAAAAAAAAATTATGTGTCAGTTATTATAATAATATGTATAAAATTAATAAAAATTATTTTTTAAAATCTTCTCTACTACAGGAAAAGTTTGGTGCAGATATTTTGATTGTTGATGAAAATCAGAAAATTGGTACAAAGAGACTTTCTGAGTATGGCAGTGATGCTGATACTGATGATTTGGCTAATGATAGTGACCTTGACATTACAACTTGTAAGTCTTTTTACTTTTCATAGATATATATATGTATGTATGTATGTTGTATGCATGTATACACACACACACGCATACACATAGCTTTCGAGAACTCCAACAAATCTTTTATTAGTCCAATTACCTCCATCCTTTTTTGTTGTGTTTTAAAAGACTAATCCAATAGCTTCGTAGAAAACTGAATTCTTACTGTTAAAGTTATTCCTTCATGGAATAAAACATAATTATTTGCTACTTTGCTTCTAGTGAAAGGCTTGCGTAGAGTCAATGTCCTCATGAAGCGAGGAGGGCAGACCCTGCTTGACCACATGAAGAGAGTTCTTGACCAATCAGGGTTACAAGATGATGACACTTATGCTAAAGATCTTGATGAAAGAGGTGAGAGATGAAAATTATTATTTCTTAAACACCTTTTAAAATTAAGATTTAAATGTCAAAAGAATTTGTTTTTCCTGGAAATATGTTTGAAAAATGCTTTTGTCACCTTAACTGGGAAAAATTGTTTTTTAAAATTTCTGATTCCCTGAACAGCACCCTATCTTATAATTGATGTCAAAATAACCAAAACATAAAAATAGGCCTACTCAATTATCTTGATAAGGAGTGTCAGATAAATAATTATTAGTATATTGTTATTGTACACGTTTGTGTCTGAAATTTATTTTACCTTACTCATTAACATTAAACTAAATTGGTCTGGCTAAAAAAATCTCATCAATCAAACCAACTTATTACACTTTTTGATAGATTGCTTTGTGATTTCTTTCAGGGGACATTGACTTCTTGTCCCATTACAAACTGGTAGACTCAAGAAAAATGGAATCTTATGCCAGAGCTTTTGTTGTGGAAGATGATGATTTTGATACAGTCATTAGATCAAAGGTGAACCATGCATTCCAATAACTGCTAATTTATCATAGTGCATTGATAAGACTTTCATTATTAGATATTACATAATTTTAATTTTTTTTCAAATTTACAATTTTTAGCACATGTATTTTATTCTTCAGTTCCTTGAAATGCTTATTTATTGAATGCTATTTAATGAGACACATATTTTTAAGCATTGGACAATGTAAGAATTGTTTTGAATTGATCTTTAATTGTCAGGAAACAAAGCAAGCCATCGAGGGAGTAGCCAGTGTGAATCATCTGACATCTAAGCAGCTAGAATATGTCTTTAAGGTAGATGCATTTGTTCTACTTCTAGACTGCTTTTTTTAGATTATTGTTTTTGGTTTTGTCAAGTTATGTGAATTACTCAATATTTTTGGAGAAAAATCTTCAAAACATTTTTAAAAAAATTCCATGATATGGCTTTTAGCATTTATTACACGTGAGTTTTAAAAAAAACAACTTTGAAGCAATACTTAATACTAAATCTCTGAATAGATTTTAAATTAGTTAATATTCTCTTTTTTACCAGGTACTAAAAATTGATGATGCTACGCAGGTAACTTTCCGAATGTTTGCTGTTATTTCTGCCTTATGTGAGAGGGTTACTCAAATGGAGTAAGTTATCTACATTTTTATTGTGTTACCGGTACATAATATTTTTCTCTTGTATTTATTCTCATTTGTACTGAAAATGCAAATTTGATCATACTTGCTTTACATGTAGATATACTTTGGAAAAAAAATTAGCGCACATTTCTACTTAATTTAATTCAAAACTTGCTGCTGAGTTAACTATTTAAATTTAAGATCTTTTTCAATAAACGATATGACCTATTCATCTCACCATTTACCTTCTATGTCCATTCTTATCTGTCCAGCCCATTAAGCAAACATCTACTGGAGATTTGTGACCTTCTGGACATAGAACGCAAGATGACTTTGTACAAGGCCATGTTTTACACAAATGTCAAAGCAGACAGGGATCCTAACTTCATAAAGGCAGACTCACTCAAAATTGAGCTCATTGCTGGAGGCTTGAACTGGAAACAGCAAGAGTTCATCATGGAGAAGCTGCAACCAAATATGTACAATGAGGTAGCTGCCTTCACACAAGTTATTAGCATCTTCTTGTTCATTTTTATTGTTTTTACACCTTAGTAAATTTATTGACAATAAGGTTAAAAAAATGCCAATTTACTTAAGCGTGACAAATCACATGATCTCTCATTAAAATGGAAATAAGACAAGTTAAATTAAAGGTATCCAATATATTTAAATGCCTTTCAGAATCTTGACTTCAAAAGTTTTAATATTATTTTTATTATTTATTTATTGACAGATTTCATTCCTAGACTACATCTGTTATATTCCATTGTTCCTGTCAATGCATGACAACATAGTAGATAACCCACTTGATATGAATAACAATAAATATGAGCATATGCTCCGCAAACCATCAGGATTACGTATGTTGAATTGCATTTCCTTGTTAAAAAATCAATTAGACCTGAAGAAATCTTTTTCTTCAAATGTAAAAAATAAATGTAGGCCTACACTTTCAAAAATATTCTTAAATGCTACTTTGGTGTTTTTTATTTTAAAAAATGAATGGTACTAGTTTTACCAAAGTTAAAATTTAGTTATTTCATTGCTCAACTCAAATCAGATTGAGTTTTTTTTTTAAAATTTTTACTCAATGTCATTTCAATTAATTTTTTAAAAAAAGCAATTTCTATTCTTAATTTGTTACTTTGGACATTCTGTAAAACCTTCATTTAAAACTGTGAAGGAGTTAATTAAAAAATGTTCTTGGTAAGTCAGTGTAGAAATAATTTCACTGTGCCCTTTGATCTGTTTAGCTCGACAGCGTGACCACAACCCACTAGGGAACCCTCTGAAGAGAGATTCAAACTTCCAAAACAAACAACTTGCCAGAGACTTGCTTGAAGGAAAAATTGAAATGAATGATATCAAACAAGACAAGAGAGATTTAATTTCAAAATATGCCACGTAGGTCTTGAATTTAATCTTCTTTACCACTTTTATCCAGTTTCTAATTTATTACAATTATTTAATCTTGTTTTTAATTTGAAACAAGTTTTGAAAAGTTCTTTTGCTTTTTGGAATTCAATTAAATTTTTATTTATCTAATGCATGTTCAATAAACCTTTGGCAAATTATATTTCTATAAACTGGTCTACACACTATATTATCAGCAATCAAAAGGCTACTGAAGTTATTTGAGAAATAAACCCTTTAAATTTAGTATTGCAATACATTGGTAAAAAAAAAATAATTTACTTTTTTTTTTCTTTCGCAAGGTTGCCTACCCTTCTTCAGGAAGACAGGGAAACCACCAATGTGTCTGAGTCCTCAACGTAAAACTTAACACACTTGAATAACACATTTGATGAAAAGAAAGATAAGAGGTTTTATAAACTAAATTTTTAAGTGGGCAAAACAATCAAAAGATGAGAAAGTAAAGATATTTATAATATCATGTTCATAAAAAGATTGTAATATCAGTTTTCCATCAAAGCTAACACTATTAAAAATACAGGCACTCTGATTGGCTGAATCGTTTGTAAGCTCATAAATCATATTATGATCTTCATCTGATAGACTCCAGACAGACTGTGAAATAACACATATAACATAAAATAACATACTGTTAACTTACAGATTTTACACAATTCAAGTTTGCTTTTTGCCTACAAAACACAGTATTATGTACAATTATTATGTACAATTATTATGTACAATTATTATGTACAATTATTATGTACAATTATTATGTACAATTATTATGTACGATTATTATTTTATGGCTGTGATTTTTCTATTATTTTGTCACATTACAATGAATAGAATAGAATAGAATAGAATAGAATAGAATAGAATAGAATAGAATAGAATAGAATAGAATAGAATAGAATAGAATAGAATGGAATGGAATGGAATGGAATGGAATGGAATGGAATAGAATAGAATAGAATAGAATAGAATAGAATAGAATAGAATAGAATAGAATAGAATAGAATAGCTTTGTTGATAAAAAGAAGAGTAAATGACGAGTTGCATTTATTGCATGAAATATGTTGAGAAAATGAATAGAATGCAAACAATAATTCAGGTAAATAAATAACTTTTTGAACCCAATGTTAGAGTAACATTTTAATGTGTTTGGCGTGCTTTAAAAAACAACTATTTGAATTCATGTCAAAACTTTTTTGATACTTTGTGATTATACTAATATCATCTTTGGATGACTACTAATGTTTTGACTTTTACATGGTCAAATAAATACACTTTGAACAAAAATCATTAAGTCCACCTTTGATTTTTTACCTTTTCAATTTACTTATTTTGGAAAATGTTTTCACCACCTTAAGAGATTGCGATGTGTAAAAGTTAGGGCTATTAGTAGCCATTTAAATGTTTGTTTTTTCCCCCTCAATCCTTACATGGAGAGGAATAAGTTATATTTTGATTCATAATAACTGTTTGGTTATGTTAATAGTTCGCTAGGTAATTGTGGACTGGGATGTAAACACAAATTTAAAAACTCTATGCCTCTTATAATAATTTTTAAAATCCTTAATTGTTTTAAGGCATCATCTACACAGGTTAGTGCAAAATTAATAAAATTGAAAAGAATGAACTGTAAAAGAATAGTTATGTATAGAGATTTATTTGTGAAACAAACAATAATACAGCATTTAAAACATATTTATTTAATTTTAACATTATACAATTGTGTAAAGTGACTAGTTATCAACAAATGTTTTATTGTGTGCACCATGGAAAAAAAAGATGATTCCCTGAGCCATTTTTTTCCAACCATTGCACCAAACAATCTACAAATGTACAGTTGGAACACTTCACAAGGCAGTTACATATTTCTAATAGGCAAAGACTGGCTTGTAATGATATAATTATATCAAAATCACAGCAATCTTAAAAGGAATATTTTAAGATTCACAACTGTTGAATTTTAATTTCAATTAAATGGATTTCCTTTCAAAATAAGCTTTCTTATGTTTAAGATGAGATCAAACAAGTAAATTCCCCCCCATAATTCTAGGCTTTCATACAATACTTCGTGTCTCAATAAAAGCTTGTATATCCTTAAAGATTCAGATGGGCTTTTCTTGCATGTTTTACTTGCACAAGATGTTCTAAGAACAGTTATCTCATTAATCTCACAGACCGAGGGATAACTGCATCATTTAGTACCCTTCACAGTAAACTTTCCACCTCAGACTCCAGTCTCTTGGAGAACTAGCGTGGTGTGTCTTATGGACTCTGTGACCCAGATGCTTTCCATTGATATGTGATCAAATGATTATATACATCTTTTTTCCCTCCGATCTTCTACACTCTACTCATTTAATATCAGTTACATGATTAAGATCTTCACATGCACTTCTCACACACCTTCGGGAATATAAAGTGCTAATTCTGAAGGGGTCACGTTTCCCCCACTAATGTACACAACAACTTTCTTTCCTTCCACATCTGGGACTTTTCCATTCAGCAAGGCGGCAAGAGCTGCACAGCCTGAGGGCTCTGCCTTGATTCCTCTGTGGAACAGCAGCCTCATTGCCTGCATGATTTCTTCATCTGATACCAACAAAATGTCTTCAACAAACCAACGGCAGTGCCTGTAACAAATTGTACCTAGAAAAATACAAAACTAATTTTCAATTTGTTGAGGTCATACATTTTCTGAGACATTTATTTGTGTAATGTTGAATACATCATTTTTATTTTAAAATTAAAATAATTTTTTTTTTATCATATTACGAAAAAAATTATACATCACAGACCTGCATATGGGGGAGCTAATCCAGAAGCAACTGATTTAACATCTGGAAGAGTTAAGGGTCTTCTTGATTTAAAACTTTCATACATGGTTGGAGCTGTAACAGAAAAATCATATTAATCTGTAATTAATGTAAATAACAATGCACATAAAGAAATTAGATTCATTGCACAGCTTTAATTTTTTCAATATATCAAATGTTGGCCTTCAGTTTTAACTCTGTAAATGATGCTCCAACTGTTATAAGAAAGTCTAAGTAGTCTTTTATGCTGATACTGTCTTACTGGAGATGAATTAAATGTTAATTTTGTGAGGATAGTAGAAGTTCCTTTAATTATTGTAAAGAGGGCACAAGGTGTCTATTGCCTCAAGCATTCAAACCCCCAGCGCATAATTCCCTCACAAAATGGCACTGGAAATCAGTGAAATGTCCTCATCAACACCAGGCACAGAAACATTCCAAATCCCCTCTACATGCATAGGAGCCAAAATGATCAATAACTTGATCATGGGCCCTTAATATATAGAAGAAGAAGTTGTAACAATTTACCTCCTTCTGGTTCAACTGCATAAATTCTACATTTTTTGCGATCTGACAATGAGATACCAGCAGCCACGCCTGACACCAAGCCTCCCCCACCACAGCAAACAACAACAACATCAGGATCAGGCACATCTTCCAGCAGCTCCAATGCAGAACTGGCAAAATTAGGCATTAGAAATTATGTCATGTTAAAACATGACATTAAATAATTTATACAAAAAAAAACCCCAACAAAATATCAACTTCAAATTATATATTTTCTGAACAACAATCTTCACCTGAATCCCACATTTAAAAACAATCTTCACCTGAATCCCACATTTAAAAACAATCTTCACCTGAATCCCACATTTAAAAACAATCTTCACCTGAATCCCACATTTAAAAACAATCTTCACCTGAATCCCACATTTAAAAACAATCTTCACCTGAATCCCACATTTAAAAACAATCTTCACCTGAATCCCACATTTAAAAACAATCTTCACCTGAATCCCACATTTAAAAACAATCTTCACCTGAATCCCACATTTAAAAACAATCTTCACCTGAATCCCACATTTAAAAACAATCTTCACCTGAATCCCACATTTAAAAACAATCTTCACCTGAATCCCACATTTAAAAACAATCTTCACCTGAATCCCACATTTAAAAACAATCTTCACCTGAATCCCACATTTAAAAACAATCTCAGCTGACCAACAAAAACATCCACAGATTTTTTAAAATTTAACGCTTTTCTTAATGACTTGTAACGACTTGTTAATTACATCTGGAATGACATTCAACTCCTTCCAGACAAGTTCCTACCTGGCATACCCTGCAATGAGATCCATGTCATCAAATGGGTGACAAAAAATATAATCCTCATCTTTGACCAGTCTGTCCACTTCTGCCTGTAGCTCATTGGTTGGTCTCTTCCTCACTTCAACACCCATGTTCTGATAACACAGATTTTTTGTTAAAAAGGTGAAATTTCAAGGAATGATAGTTAGAATCTTGACTTAAATGAGAAAAGAGCTACGAGTCATACGAAATCAACCATTTAGAAAAGGATGTGAAGTGATTGTGCTAAATACTTTAAATAGCATTAGTACATGCTGAGCCTACTAATTAAGGTGGTGAAAGAAAAGTGTTGAAGGTGTGCTTCGAGCTTTAAAAGCAGCTAATAATTAACTGCAATTTTATCAATTGGTTGAGTCCATAAGATTTTTGATAAAGAATCACACCATGGTTAATAACTTTGGCACTTTCCTGACAAATATTACATAAAACTTATTAAATAAATTGAAAAATGCTGTCCTATTCAGATGTCCTTTCACTTTCATTGAAATATACAAGGAATATTAATGTGTCTTCAGTTGTTTTTTTGGGGGGTTTTTGTTTTTGTTTTGAAAGACTTTCAAACGCCATTTGAATAGAATTTTAGGTTATTTAATTATAATTTTTTGAAATAGACTGACTCATTGCCAATAATGTGAACTAAAACAAAAGATGTCTCATTATGATCTGCTTATATGATAAAGACTTTTTTCCAATTACCTCTATTAGGGAGACCCTGTTATCTGGTGCAGTTTTGGGCATGACACATATCGACTTTGATTTAAGTCTGCCAACAACATGAGCGAATGCTTTTCCATAATTTCCCGCTGACATTGTGACCAATTTGACTTGTTTGCCATGCTTCTGTTGAATTTTACGCATTTGATTCAGAACTCCACGAATCTTAAAGGATCCTAATGAAGAATTTTACATTTTTTAGACTGGTAAAATTAGCAATGTCATATACCTAATACTAAAAAAATTTTTTTATTGTTGATGAGAAATAAAAACTTGATGAAATGAAAATAAAGTTTAAAAATTAAATATATTTTATAGTTGATGCCATTCAGTGTTTAAAATGACAAAGAACAATATAGCTAAATATAAAATTTTCCAAAGATCAATATCTATTGAAATTATGAACCAATATGCAGCCTTGTGTTTAGAGCAGTTTGTTGAGCTTTTTTGTCATTAAAATACTTGTCAAAGTGCAGGAGTTTTACATTTTTCTTTGCAACATAGACTCAAGTTGAACTGTCTTCCAAAAATTTAATTCTAGTTTGAGGATAAATATAATGAAAGAAGTTTTTGTTCTAATTGCAGATCCTCTCTAGTTTTCAGTTTTTTTTAAATTTTCTATTTGTTAATGACTAAAGACTCCACCTGTTGTTTGCATGTTTTCCAGCTTTATAAATAAATCAACATCTGATATATTTAGTGGACTAGCTGCAGGTGCCTCTGCCTCATTGTTGTTTTTAGTTTCGAAGGTCTCATTGGTTTCTTGAAATAAACTTTGTACATGAAGCAGGGTTGGGGTGCGGATAACTTGGCGGGTCGATTTTAGGTATGTGTAGGTTTCCTTTATCTGCTCTAAAGTAACTATGCTGCTGTCCAAATCCATGTTTAACTGTAAAAAGAAATTTATATTTAATATATAGGTTTCTTTACATAAGGCAGGGTTATATGTAAGGTGGATAATATCAATGATAACAAAAACCATGGCAGGTCCAGGAGAAAGCAACTAGAAAATATGAAAAGGAAAAAAAAAAGGTCTTTGATAAGTAATGTAAATTAACCACAATTTTTAACATTATTTTTTTAACAAACTACAACATAGTGGTAGCATCTGTCAAGTAATAACTCCACTGCCTATGAACATTAAATCCTCAACAATTTGCCAATAGTGATAAAAAAAATATGTATTAAATAACAAATTAAGTGTAGATTTAACCACTAATTAAGTAAAGATATTACATTAATCAATAGAAAAAGGTCAGGTGAGTGTCCTTAAAATTCAATTTAAAAAAATGTGGCTGAATAAAAAAATTAAAAACAAAACTTTATTTTTTTTTTATTGCTAGATTAAAATGACACTTTTAAAATATTGCACCAATATATTGAGAAATTTGCTCTTATACTTATATAAATATATTTTCCAAATGATAATGCAATAAAACTGTAGTCACTATGAAAATAATCCATGTTTAAAGTCTAAAAATTACCTTTTCCATGCCAATGGCTACATTTGAAACTATCATATTCAGTTGGTTAAATGATTTATATAGTCCAGTCCGAAATACACTTTCAATGTTCGCAAAAGCTTTCAGCGGCTCACTTGAAATTGACAGATTTTGCCAAAATTTTAGTGTCATTTTTGTTAGTGCTTAACAATTTGGAATAATTAAAATGTACCCGATGTAAAACAACAGTTTGCATCAAGTTATTATTTACATAAAATCACACAAATTTAAAAATATTAACTTTCTTTTAGTTATGACTTTTCATTACTTCTCTCTAGAAAGTTTAATTCTTAATGATCCTTTTTGGGTTCAAGTTCAAGATCAATTATAACAAGTTCAAGTATAGTCAAAACTGAGATTCTGTTTATCAGTATTTCACTAGTTGAAAAATTACAAGTCTTATCTTATCAAAAGATTCAAAATCCACCCGTTCAAAATAATGTACCTTATCAACAGCCATGGCCTATTTTATAGCCTAACGTATTGCAAAGGCCTGAACTATAATAAAAGATTTTCACTCAAAAATAACTTGGACTTTGATATCAGGTGAGACCTAGCCTAAGAAAATGTAACTTTAAATCACAACCTTTTAAACAGCACAGATATGGCCTAATAAAAAGTTATATGAGAAAAACATTGAATAGCTGAAGGCTAAATTCTCACATTAATATTTCTTTTGGAAGTTCTAAAAATACTTAAAGAAATTTTACACTTGGCATATGACAGATTTCAAACTTCTTAAAATACTGGTAATAAAATTATAAATGGTATTTTATATCCAGCAGGCAGAGCTAAACCAATGTGGATAGGTGGGGAGCAGGGACATTGAGGGGCTGGGGTTGTCAAGAATAAAAAAGAAATCACCTTTATATAAACAGACCAGAGATGTTTTTTTTTAAAATTTAAACCTCTCTTTATCCAGGCCATGAGAGAAGCTCCATCTCAGTCTGCTAGAGAATTCACAAAGTCATTTTCAATCCTTTGATAAATTATTAGGCTATTATTCAATTAATCTTTCAATTACTACAAGTCAATTACAAATAAATGTATTTCCATGACATCTTTATCTGATTGCTTTGTGCAATTTACTTCAATGACAAATAAAAATTTCATAAATAGCCAGTCATTTAACTATGTCACATAGCAGTCCTATAGCTATTCACATAGCAGTCACATAACATCAACACCAGTAACAGAAACATTGCAAATCCCATCTACATGCATGGCATAGGAGCCAAAATGATCAATAAATTGATCGTGGGCCCTTAAGATATAGAAGAAGAAGAAGATAACAATCCTATAACTATACCATATAACCAGTCATATAAGTATGTCACAAAGCAATCATATAACCATAGCAATCATATAACTATGTCACTTAGTAGGTCTAACTCATCCCTTTTAAACAACATCTATTTAAATGGAAAGAGAATATAAACAAAAATTAATATTGACTGGGGTTGGCATGATCAGCTAATGTTGAGGACTGATAAGAAGGTTGGTAGAGGAGTGTAAGTTACATGTTTACTTATTAATAGCTTTTGATCAAAATGCTCTAATAATATCAGTAGTGAGTATTTCCCATTGTGGGTGTGCAAAAGGGATGGGTGTGTGTATGTGTGTGTGTGTGATTATGTATTACAGATTGTATCTCCTAAATAGGAATTGCATTTATATTTAAAAATAAAAAAATAAGGTGATATAAATATAGTATAATATAGTTCAATAAATAAAATTAATTTATGTCATTTTATCCTACAACTTTAAATATTTATCCAAAACAGGCAGGCAAATTGCAATTCAATCTTCCTGTTGGCAGCATGGCGACTTTTTTTTTATAGCTCTTCCACTTCCACCAAGAATTCAAGACAATTAAGTTTTTTAAACTGATTTCTATTTCTTTGTTGTTTCTTGTTGAAGTCTTGTCTACTGAAGTAGGTTTTTAGCCGAAACAATCTCCTTGTATTGCCCTGTCTTTTCATTTCAAGCTTCAACATACCTTGTTCCACTGTTTCCTACACCAAATAAAATAATGGAAGGTGAAATACAAATAATGAAATATGCATCTTTTTTAAAAATACGCGACATGGAAAATCCATCATTATTATTAATTTTTAAAAAAAATTTCATTTGATACTAGTACTTGGATTTCACATTAAAATTTTGTACTAATTAAATGGTATATATTGTTATCACGGGGTTACCTCTTTGGCTGTCTCAATATTGGAGTATTCATTTAGTGACCAGATACATTTAAGATTCTAACAATTGAGAGAATTTTAAGTATTAGGAAGTTGATAGCACAATTTTTATAATTATTTTTGTTAATTAATTAAACTTATGAATCTCTTTTCTGCTATTAATAATTAAGATTGGATGGATATTTTTCATGTTGTTGGTACTGAAGCAGAAATTATTTTAATTTCTTAATTTTAACAATCCCAAAACATTAGATTAACAATAACATTATTCATGGGTAGTGGTAGGCTTACATAAAATCATAAACACGATATTAATGAAATATCAAATTTTAAAATGTCGAGTGGTGCATGATAGTATCATTGATAGGCATACCTCGTTTTGGTATTTCATAATAATTAATAAGTGGTTGGATCTAATTAGTAATAAACTCATGCAGTAAATTTGAAATGTTTTAAATTTGCTCTAAGAAATGGTGTTTTGAGATTCAAAATAGTCCCAACCCAAAAAGTTTTTTTATATTTTTTTTTAAATGCTGATTTATTTTAAAATAAGTTAGTTCCAGTACAGAAGTTGTGTTCAAAACATTATTACTGCCAGTTTAAACAATGATTAACTTTATATTGGCTCTATATTTCTAAGGAAATGAGGGAAACAAAGGATGTGAAAACCTGAAAAAAAGAACACAACATAACATGAAAGGTGCCTGCAAAATTAGATAAAAATAACACTTAGCTCAAATGTAGTAAACGAGAGGATAGCAAATTTTTTTTTTTTCAATTCAATTTTTCTCATACTTTGTTTCACTCATTTCCTTCACTGCCTTTAGTGATATAAAATGAGTAAAACAAAGTACGGTTAAACCTGTTAGGAACGCAGCAAAACAACAAACGTGTTGGTGGGATGCCTTCGTCAGCGAACAAAATAAAAGAAAAAACAGAATGGGTGGCCGAGCAGTCTAAACTGTCTCAAACCAAATAGCTGGTGGTCTGGAGTTCAATCCCCACCAAAGCAAACATCCCAAGCACCTCGGATGGAGGGATGGGACTTGTTAGCCTTGGACGGTAACCCATCGAAGAGAAGGCAAACTCTGAATTTAAAACAGGAGCCAGAATGATCAACAAATTGATCGTGGGCCCCTCAAATATAAGAAGGAGAAGAAGGCTGATAGGCTCGAATTATGTTTCTCCCCCCCCCTCCCAAAATCCCATAGACATACGTCTATGCCTACAGACTACAGCAGTTTGATTAATGATTAAGACGAAAAAGGTAATGCAAATGCAGTAGTCATATGAGCTATGAACTATAAAAAATTTAGACAACTAATTTTTTTTCCAATTCAATAATCGATATTGATGATAGTCGATAGCCCAAAACATGCCCGATATTTATTCTAGCCTTTAAAAAGGCTAAATTATTTTACTACCCCGCCCCCCCCCCCACAAACTCTTCCCAACTAACTGCAATAAAAAAAACCATTCTTTGAATAAAATATATAAAATGAATTTAAAAAAAAAAAAAGATTTCAAGGTATAGGCATAGGACCTTATTATTAATTAGGCCTATAATTATAACTTATAAAATTCCTTTGTTGGTGATTTGTCCAATGTATTTAATATATTATAAATATTACATTATTATAAATTATATGATGAGGTAGGGTGTGAAACTTAATAAATTTTGATTATAAATGAAGGCTATGAGTATGACTCAATGCCAATGAGTATGACTATTACTATGAATAGGATACAATGATAGCCTGTGCCTGTACTATAGGCCTACTTATCATTGTATACAGTATTGTATCAATTCATAGTAATGTCTAAGTAATAGTAATAGTCTTGTCACTGTCACTGACTGCATGTTATGTTCGACAACAAATACTGAGTCCAACCAAATGGATTTTGTTTTTCCTATTAGAACTTTATCGTTGATATTAATAATATTTATTGTTTAAATGACTCCGATTTTAAACAGGAATCCAGAATTTCGGTTTGGTCGGGTTTAAGTTTAATCTATTCCTAAGTGTAACGTAACATAATTTCTAAATCAAAATAAGACTATTAATAAATATTGCGGTGCATATTGGTTTCTGCTATTTTTAATCATTAAATTAAATTAATGGCTTTGTCATGCGGCCGCGTCGTATAAAAAATATGCAAAAAAATTTTGAGTAATCTAAGCAACGTAACTGTAGTAAAAAAAAAAAAAAAAAAATCAAATTAAAAAATCCATACAGCTTCTTTAAAATTCGTTGAAAAAAAAATTTTTCTTGGTTGCTAAAAAATAAAAATGTGCATTCAAGTTCAAGCGATTCTAACATAACTTAAAAAAAAAAATGCAAAAAAATTTTAAGTAAACTAAACAACGTAACTGTAATAAAAAAAAAAAAAAAAAAAAATCAAATTAAAAAATCCATACAGCTTCTTTAAAATTCCTTGAAAAAAAAATTTTTCTTGGTTGCTAAAAAATAAAAATGTGCATTCAAGTTCAAGCGATTCTAACATAACTTTTGCGAGAAATCTGGCTCTATATGTAACAAAAGTTCAAAGGTCCTTTACCCAAAACAAAATAATAACAAATAACTATGCTGCTTTGCCTGGCTTATCCACAATCGCTCAAGCTGAGACTTAAAACTAGAGCGTTAAACAGATTTTAATTACATTCAAAAGTAGGGAATAACACCTATTTTCTTGAATATATTAGTGTATTGTATTATGCCTACTAACTATAATTATGTTATAGGCCCTAGATGCCTAGCAAGACCTGCCTAACTTCTAAGAATTAATTTAATTATAACATTTAAAAAAATACGATGATTGAATGAATTGAATACGGCTTAAACTTTATTTTTATAAATACTTGGTCATCTTACAGCAGTCTTGGATATCATCTACATTTGCTGTACAATGCAACTATGCAATCAATTGCCTATTATTGGTTATATTTTTAGGCCTTTACTTTAAAAAAAGTCTAATATATAATAATATCTAACTCTAATACTTAATACTAATACCACTGAAGACAAAGGACAAAGAGTAAGAGGATAAAAGTCAATAAGTTTATAATTATTAAATATTTAAATTTAAGCCAAAGTAAAGACACCTAATCCTGAACAGGATAAAATAGAAGGCTGTTACTGTTGCACTCAAAATCAATAAGTTATTCAAGCAGTCTAATACTAATACTTATAATAATACTAAATTAGTTAGTTACTTAGTTAGGCCTATACCACATACAGTTAATAATAATAAAAAATACAACAGACAGTGTAATCTGATACTAGCAATAATATCAATATTAAAATTAATGATATTAAGAATGGCTTGCTATTATATTCTGTTACATTTAAATATTTAGTAGGCTATAAAAGTATGACTGGCTCCTGTTACTTGAACATATAGGTGCTCAATAGTCCAATATTATTTTTTGTGCATTGGAATTCTCACCTACGCTCACACTGATATTCTGAGTTCTGTTTTAATTATTGTGTGTTTTTACTTATCACGTGAAATATTTTTTAGTTAATTTATTATGGCAGTATTGTGAGCCTAAATCTTTAATTTTATATTAATACATTATGTTTTTAATTTTTACAGTTCTGTCTGCCTGTTTGGTTGCATCAGAATTGTTCATTATGTCGGTAACCAATGCCAATGCGGTTGGCACAGGGAATAGACTGAAAACAATTTTCGGACATCTTCAGCAACAAGAGATTAGTTCTTATGTTGTATCCATATTAATTAATTTAAAATTACTTATTCAAAATTCATATTTCCTTAAAAAAGTTTTAGATGTATTTATTTTAAACATATTTCTATATATAAATATATATTGGGGGGATTAGGGAGTTATTTTATATATGTGATTAGGCCTATGGAATAGAAACATCTAGTTTATATTATTTAATATCATGTAGTAACTTTCTAACTAAATCATAAAAAAATACTGTGATTAATTTTATATTGTCTGGCTTCTATTTCTTGTGTTTTTAATTTGTTAAAATTTCAATAACAGCATTTTTTTTAATGATATTAAAAATAAAAGAATCCTTGAGAATATTGTAAACATATATGTTCATTAATATTATATCGCTCAACAAATACCTGAAATGCTTTAACTGGTGAAAGACTCCACATGTAACTTCTGCATCAGCTGGAGTGGCAGACACTTTACCTTTCAAATACACAGTTGATAATCCCAAATTGACTCTTGAGCAGCGCCAATTTTATGAAGAAAATGGATTTCTTGTTATAAAAAAATTGGTGTCACCACAGAAACTTGATTTATATCGGTAAATAGTGTTTTTTTTTTGTTGTTGTAATTTGTGGCATTTTACAACCATTGAGATTGTGCCTCATACTTTTATGCATGGTTACTTTATTAATCAACTTTTCAGTGTAGAATTAAAATTTAAAAAAAAAATAAAATAAATAATAGTGATCCCCCCCCCCCCCCCCCCAAAAGGCAATCCCCCCCCCCCCCCCCATGCAATGTTCCCTATAACCCGGCTATATGCATGCGCTCACACACATATCTATTGAGAGCCTGCACACATTATTTAAATAATTTATGCACCATTTAGATAAATATCTTCCACTCCATGCGAGAAATCGTTAAAAAATATTACAATTAGAGGCCTATTTATTTTAAAGCATTTTAAACTTCACTATGCAAAAATGAAGATAATTAGGCCTAGCATATGTTAACATGGTGCTATAAATTTCATATTTAATTTTGATGCCAGGCTTTATTTGCTTCATTTCATTGTGCCTAACATTCTGTATAATTTCTAAAATCATTAGATAATAAGTTAATAATTCTTTTGTGAAACATCAGCAATAGGTTCACAGCCATTTGTAAAAAAGAAGTTATAGTTCCAGGAATGACAATAATGAGAGATATTGCTATCAAGGACTCAGAGTTTGTTCCTGGTGAACAAGCTGTTACAAAAATCCAGGACTTTCAAAGAGATGATGTTTTGTTTGATTACTGTGCATTGCCAGAGGTAATCATTGAAAGTGGGCATGTGTGGGGTAGCGGGAATGGAAATAATTATCTTTATTTTTGGAGAGCTTAGAGGACAAGAGTTTCAATAATTATTTTGAATAGCTACACATAATTAACATTAATTTCCATTATAGCTATCTTTTGATATGACACAATTGGGGCTTATGTGAGGGTTAAAGGTGGGAGGGTATCATTCCCCACTCCCCCAGTATTTTAGCATTTGTAATTGTTACAATGATTTGTAATTTTAAATAATTGGGTTTATAACTGAGAAGAAAATCAACCCTTCTATCTTTTTTTAATGTAAATTATCCAACAAAGTACTACTCTGTAAATTATTGTCTGTCATTTTTTAATTTTTCTCATTTTTTTCTTATTCTTAGGTTGTTGAATACGTTGAATGTTTTACTGGTCCAGATGTCATAGCCATGCATACAATGTTGATAAATAAACCACCTGACTCAGGTAGAACTGTTAACTATGCAATTTTTTTTTTTACAAATGCACTGGCCTTTGTGCTTGGAGAATAGTCATTTATTGAATTTGCCTTTGCGCATAGAGAATAGTTGTTTATTATTGAATTTGCCTTTGCGCATGGAGAATAGTAGTTTATTATTGAATTTGCCTTTGCGGTTAGAGAATAGTCATTTATTGAATTTGCCTTTGCGCTTAGAGAATAGTCATTTATTGAATTTGCCTTTGCCCTTAGAGAATAGTCATTTATTGAATTTGCCTTTTCGTGAAATTTTCTCTTTTAAAGAGAGCATTGACCTCGAGTGGTGATTAAAATCAAAATAGCATGTAGAGGATTTTATTTTAAAAAAATATTATTTCTCATTATTATAAATGCTATACCATTAAGTATGTTTAAATTTGTAGATATGTAATGAAGAATGCAGCTTTTGCATATTTGAATTTCTCCATTAACCACAATTCTAACATTTTCTTATTATAATGTTTATCAGGTAAAATGACGTCCCGCCACCCCATGCACCAAGATTTGCACTACTTCCCTTTTAGGCCTGCTGACCGCATTGTATGCTCTTGGACAGCTATGCAGAAAATCAACAGAGAAAATGGCTGTCTTGTGGTTATACCTGGAACTCACAAAGGGGAGCTTCTTGTGCATGAATATCCAAAGTGGGAGGTTAGCAGATAAGTCTGTAGTACATACACTCTACGGTGGTCATATTGAATTGTTAGTCTTGTGGCGCAAGGGTAACATTGATCCATCTTTACAGGAAGTAGCAGATTCAAATTTAGTCAAGAGTCTTTCACAGCTATAGGTATTATCAGCTTGAAGGAAGGGACTTGTTAGATCAGTATGGCAGCTCTTTCTTGACTAAAAACCCCAGCACAACAACCAAAGTCAGAAAACACCCAGAAATGTTATATAAAAAAAATCTTAATGAAATCGAATCCTCTTGTGATATGCATACGGTTAAAATATCTAAAAAATCATAACTCAGGATGAAATTTTTTTGAGGTGGTAATATAAATGCTGGCTAGATTCTCAGAAAAAGAGTATAGAATAAAAATGAATTTAAGTTTTTAAGGAATTTCTTTTTTTGTCAACACATTAAAAATATTAATTTAATTACATTTTATGCCTGTCATTTATTTTTTAATGTAGGGTGGGGTCAATAAAATGTACCATGGCATTCAGAACTATGATCCCAGCCAAAGCAGAGTTCATCTGGAAATGGAAGAAGGGGACACTGTATTTTTTCACCCTATCCTAATCCATGGATCTGGTACTAACAGGTCAAAAGGATTTAGAAAAGTAAGTTCCTGAGTTTACAAAGAGTGATATTATTACAGACAGACCATCCACAATACTTAAAGGACACCTATGTTGTTAACAAACACAGAGCGTCTTTAAAAATAGTATATTTCTGTTCCACTAAGTTCCAGTGGTTGGTTTGATTGCAATGGTAGGCGTAGACTTAATTTAAAGCTAAAATAATAATTTGGAACAACCACTTTATCTGGGGGGTTAATTAGCTAGTGTGCTGTGAACACTTGTCATTATATCATAAATAACAGATATGGGGAATTTGAGATTCAAAATAATTTTTTTTACGTCTATTTCATTGGGTTGAAATAATACAAGTAGTTGGTCTTTGTCAGCCTCCCTTAACTTATAATGAATTTATAAAACACATTAGTGTCTGGAAGTGATTAATTCCTAAAGAAAGGTTCACCTCCAACACCTACCGACAACAAAAATTCATTCTTGCAAAGATAAATGCTGTTGATGTATAATAATTAATAATATTGATAATTGCTTTGTGTTGTGTCTGCCTGTTCAGACATACCCCACTCTGGATTGGGGTCAGCTGATTAATTTTTTTGGTGGAAAACAGGTGTCTTTGGCAGCACTTGCTTTGAAACCACATGATTGACGGGGCTGAATGGCTTGTACCAAATTGTGGTATCATAAATAGCGTGCTTTGACAATTCTAAATAAAAACATTTCTAAAGTTGATTACAATCTTATAAAATATGTCAATCTGACCTTGTAATAAGGAACAGTTTGTGGGGGGGGGGGGGGCATATAATAAATAGGTTAAAAACTGGATTTCTAAAACCTGTAATTGGATTTAACAAATATAACTGATATCCCTACACTAGACCAGAGCTCTGCAACCTTTTTTTCCCTTGCGGCACACCCTAGGCCTATCCAAATATTGAGCAGCACACCACAAGTAAAAACATTGCTAAATTTTGGATTTCAAAGTACATAAGTGAAATGATCATGAACCATTAGAACTTTTATACTAAATGACAGATTGTTGTTAATCTATATAATGGCATGTAATGCTTGAAGGTAATGCAGAGCTAAGTTCTAGTCCGGGCCTGCACAACTCAAAATGTAAGGCGGGCCATAATACTTAATGAAAAACTTGTGCGGACCATAATAATTTATGAAAAACTTGTGCGGGCCTAAAGATGATATGACAGCGGGGAAAGCTATTAAAATAATAATAAAGAATATTTCGTTACTTCGCTGGCCTCCAACTAGGTGCTTGCGGTCGCATGCTGGCCATATGTTGTGTAGGCCTGCTCTAGATTATATCAAATGTTGAAGTACTTAATTTGATTGATATAATATGCAAATACATACTAAGAAGCAAATAAATGTATACTGCTATTAATAAAAGGACTTTACTTCATTTTCATTTATTGAATAAATCATGTAAATGACGCTGTTGTAACTCCTACCTGACTGCAAATGAAGCTAGATAAAATACTTAATTTCTGTAAGCAGATATCTTGGGATTTCGGGTTTGAAAATCGATATCTCAGAACACGGGAAAAAAAAAAGAAATATTCATCTATTCTACATTGTGTTTCAGTCCATTTCATGTCACTATGCAAGTGGTCAAGCCCATTATATAGATGTAAAAGGCACAGAACAGGAAACAATTGCAGATGAAATTTATGAAATCATTCGACGCAAACTTGGACGGGACGTGGACATCACATTTGCCGTAAATTTTACATAAATATATATGGTGCTTGGCAAATATTAATTTTTAAAAATTTCATACATGAATAAATCAAGGCAGTTTAATGTTAAACTATAAAGTTTCAACCCTTATAGATTAGAGCAGTGGGATCAATAAAAAGCTGATACATGTATTGTTAAAAAAAAAAAAAAAAAAAAAAAACTAATTTTTAAAAATTTCAAAGATAAATAAATCAAGGCAGTTTAATGTTAAACTATAAAGTGTCAACCCTTATAGATTAGAGCAGTGGGATAAAAAAAAAGCTGATACATGTATTGTTAAAAAAAAAAAAAAAAAAAGTACACTTACTATTTATGGAAAGTTATTGAAATTGTCATTGAACTTTTAATAATCATATAAGAAATTCCATTTAAAATCTTTTATCTCAGGATGTTTGGAAGTACAAGAGCCGCCCGGTTAAAGGTGAAAACACCCTGAATTCAACTTAGAGATTCATGGATGTTTGACGATAGTACATGCACATCGAAGACAGGTACAGCATAAACATTTATTTCTACTGGTGAAATATTTGTAGTTTGAATACCTGTAACAAAGAATAAAAGTAAACTGATTTGTAAGAAAAACATAATTTATACGATTAAATTATAAAAAGAAAAAAGGGGGCATGGTTTCTCATAGGCTCATGAGGACATGTGTTGAATGCTTGAGAATTTTGTATCCTTTCAAAAACTTTTCAACTGTTTTTAAAAGAATTAGTAAGACCTTTTAAGTTTTGTCATAAAATGATTTGTTGCTTTTCTTAATTTAAGTTTCATTTATTTATTTTTTCTTTATTTCTAAAGAACTATTTTTTTATGTCCATATTTTTGCATCTTCCTTTTTCTGGTACCATTTAAAAAAAAACAACTAATCCCTTTCGAGGGTGTTTGTATTAGTAAAGCAACATTTTTTTCTTATTATCCAGCTAAGTATTGGGCCAAATGATCACCTGGAGCAGGAAGACCTAGCTAGATTTTTTTTAAAATTAAAAAAATATTTTTAAAAACTGCATTTTTATTAGCAGCACCACATGTTTTTGTGGTTATTTTTGTTTGGCGCATTATTTGTACCAATAACGGTGCATATTTTTGCTTGTTTCTATCAAGTTAATTAAATGAGGAAAACTACCATTGCTGAATTATTTTCATATTTATATTATTAAAATATTATTCATCTGGCCGAGAGGAGGTGGGGGAAGAATTGGGGTTGTAGTAATGTTTTAGCACTGGGTGTGGTGTTGCATAAGATTTAGAATCCCTGCCTTAATGGATGGCTTTTTTATATGAAAAGAAGTTGTTCACAGAGGTGGAGTCGCAAAGAGAAATTTCAACCTCATTTAAAACTTTTTTAATTAAATTTGTACTAAATATAATTTTTGGTTCTTCCTTTATTTTTGCATTTTCATAATTATAATTTAAGTCTTCACTTTGATTTTAAAGCAACCAATTTTTACTTACATATATATTTATTCAAGTCTTCATCTTATAACAGATTCAGAGTGTAGATTTTTGTTTAAGTTGAGTATTAGGATTGAAGAGTTGAACAAATAATTTGTTGACAATTGTACCTGTTGATGAAATAAATAAATGATGTCTGATTTATGTTTACAAACTTTTTAAAATTTCCTTTTATTCATAATTAAATTTAAAGGCTCTATTCCATTTCAAGGCTTGTATGATTCAGTAAGTAAGACAATACAAATGTTCAATTTGGGGTTCATATCAAAACTTCATATTTCTCTAAAAGAACTGTTAAGCACTTTTAGTTAGTAACTATTCATAAAAGTATAACTACTTGCGCATTGCTTCAAATTTAAATTATCTACAAATAATATGCATTTCAATCCAGTGGAAAAGATGATGAATTGAGAATAAGGTTTTTCATATCCTGGCCTTTGGCTTATCCCGGGAAAACCTGAACGAAGTTTTTCTCATCCTGGGATTAAAGTAATTTAATTAAAATATATTATGAACTGAATTGAACTATAAAAGAGTTGATTTTCATTGTTGTAAAATTGTTATTGTCTATTAATGAATAATACAATATTAAGGTTAGTTGAGAGTTTGGTCCCTTGCTACTAGTTGCTTCACTTTCCAATGCATATCCCTAATAATGGATAATTAGCTAATAATATGCTTGTTACGCAAAAGTTGGATAAAACTGCGTGAAGAAAAAACAAACTCAACACTTTGAATTTTGCATTCTTTCTAGTTTTTAACCAATCACTATATCTTTTAAAGAAACTATTTAATTGCTTATCAAATTTGCTGACAAAACTGGTATTTTTCCAAAAGGTCTACTTGATTAGATAAATGACAGCCAATACATTTTGATCAGCTGGGACATGTCCTTCATGATAACAGATAACATGAACTGATGTAACAACAAAAGATATTTCTATCACTTTAAAAAAAAAATCTTATCAATAACATTATTATTAAAATGATTCCTTAAAATAGATCAAATCTTACATAAAAATAAACTTTAATAAAGCTAAAATCCAATGTTGACTTGATGCAAATAAATCAAACCAAATTTGTAATGTGTTTTTTTCTTCCCAAAGCCCAAACACAAAATGCAGAATAAATATTAATCCAAGTGAAGCTGTATTACAATTTTTCTTGTTATGTGAATGATTCATTACTAAGAGACATCATATATAATTCTTAATTTCTTTAAAAAAATTGTCAACTAATCAATCTGTAAAAAAAATTAATAAAAATCTGGTAGGACTTTTTTTGAATCTTCAACTTACTTTAAGTACCTATTTAAAAAAAAAAAAATTACATGATATTAAAAAAAAAATTAAATGTGCTATGGTTGTGCAGATTACATGTGCCACCATCATTAGAGAGTTTATTAAATTCCAAGCATCATTAATATTATGCTGAAAAAAAGTGTGATTGAGTTTTCACATAAACAGATCATAGTGAATGTAGTCTGGTCTGCAGTTGCTTCCCAACAGCCTCTGCAATCACAACCCAAACTCGTGAGAATGTTAACTCCGATACCAAACTACAAAAATTAGAAAAAGGCATAATTATTGAGCTTTGAACTATTAATCATCCGCCCTATTTAAGAAAAAAATGTATGCTTTATTTAAAGACAATAACAAGACTAATTAATAGCAATGTGTGTTTTTAACTGCATACTCACCAAATAAGAATATTCTGCTCTAATAATTTACCGTACCTCTACATGTTTACATTTATTAAATAATCTTATCATAGAAATGCAAATTTATTGTCTCAATCAAACACAGAGTTTCATCACTAATAATTTAAGACCATCTCATTGGAAGAAAAAAATAATTTCTCAGGCACCAATATTTTTAGATGAGTTTATCTGGTTAATTGACAGGTGGAAATAAACTTCATGGGGATGGAGATGGGATGTCATGAGAAATGAATTTAAGAACCTCTGCATTTTAAGCTATGTTCAATGATTAAGAATCATACTTAAAGAAATACAGTGACTACCACATATTCAAACTCTTTTAACCGAGGATGTATGCTTCAACTGAATGATTTTTTATTCCAATAAGAGAATTTGGATTGAAGAGACTACTGGTGTGAAAAAATAGCTTAGAACAAAATTAAAAAATGAAACGTTAGTTACTTTCAACAGTGGGAATAATAAAACAAACATTTAATGTAAGGGAGAAATAAATTTAATGAAATATTGTGTCATCTTTTATCAGCTACTTCTATAAAAATAATAACTCAGTTTGAAAAAAAAAAAAGATCAAAATATTTTTGTTTACAAATAAATGCCTACAAATATTGGATGAAATATAAACCCCCAATAAAAGTGTCTAAAATGTAAACATGTTATCAATACAATATACAGTTTCGAAGATATTATCACTAACAGGATTTCACATGTATTTTTTAAGACCAGCAATAATTTGATTGTAAAAGTAAGATTTAAAATAAGTGGTCATTAAGAGTACACAGGCATTGAAAATTTGGGTTTATAAGTTATTATGTAATTAATTTATAATGAGCTTATTTTGTATTTTTATACAGAACATTTCAATAAATGGTTGCTTGATATCTGAAAACATTACCTTTATGAAAGGTAATATAGGTGCTTTAAACCTTAAGGACATTCACAAGCAATGTGAAAATATGCATTTGGAATGTAATGAAACAAATATTGTTTGGAGAATTAAACTGCCAAAAGCTGCTTAAAATTGAAACACTCATTTGTGAGAGTAGAATACTTATATGTGGAAATTCATCAAATAGAATGATGAAATCATGACATGACTCAAATCTTCGCTGATAAATAACAATAAAATTAAGGCTGCAGATACATATTATATGACAAATATTTTTTGAAGAAAATGAAAATTACACCATAGGTAAAAGAATTTGTTTCATCAAGATCAAGAGTGGTTTATGTTAGGCAGCAGAAAAAAAAAATGATCAAGTGCAAAGCTCAGATTTCACAGAACCTGAGATTCAATTTAATTGAAAAGTTGTTAACAATAATATGTTTGAAAGTAGTGAAGAAGATTTTTAAATTACAAAATCTTTAAACCTGAATGATTAGTATTAAAATAAGTTTTTATTAAAATTATTAATACTAATAATAATTAAATGCATAGCTGTGTGGAACTTTTGTGGTTTTGAGTTGAGGATGTTAAGTAAAAGAGATTTGAAAAAAAACATAATAAACTAAAAAAAATGTATATACAAAAAAAAAAAAATAAAGTCACTTCATAAATAGGCACAGAGTGACAGATATCCACAGAAACTGTAAAGATCTTGCATAAATATAAGAATGTGAATCCCTGGATAAACTCAGTAAAAGGCAAATGCTTAGGAATAAGTAAATCGATGACTGAGTATACATTATAGGCAAACATTACTGGCCAATCATTCTCATCACCTGGAAATAACAACAGATCATCAGAGTCTGACAATGAAGTTTATCGCAACTACTCTATTCATAAGCCTTGAATTGCCATGTGTGCAAATGATGAAAAAAGTTTAACTTTCTTACTTCTTAATAATGATGAATATAAATCACATACATATTTGTGTTCCTTGAGTCTAAGTTGAATTTTAGAAGCAACACACAACTGAATGACAAGAAATATCAGACCATATTTTGGTATTAATCTTTCGTACAGCTACTCAAAAATGGTTGATTTTATGTAACCGAACCAACAAAACTGAGAGCTTTTCAATACTAAATTAGAAGCGGAATATTATAACGGAATAATCGTAATGTCTATTTGCACAAACATTGAATTTAGTGGTTAAAAACATCATTTATTGTAACCTTTCCATTGGCTTATACAGTGTATAGACCAAATAAATTGTCAAAAATAATTTTGCTTTAGCTGGTCTCATTTTCACTATCAGGAAATGTATTGATGACAAGACTTGTAATACGACTATGGTGTAGTCCATTGTGACAACTGAAATAGATGAAATGTATATGTTTTTCATCTCTTTTTTGTAAAAAGTGTACAAGGCACATGTGTTAAAATTACTTTAAAAATTATTTTAAACATTTCTTTTAAGGAAATGTAAAAAAAAATTATGTAGAAAAATTCCATTACTTTCTGTTCATATTACATTTCTTAATTATATATTATTTTCAATGCTTTTTGAACAAAGAATGAACATTTGGGCTTTCTTTTTTACTTTAAGAATGAAAACACCTTGCCTTATTATCTTTCATTTGACCCCAACCCAACATTCATTTTAGTAAAAAAACTGGATTGATAATGACCCATTTTTGTCTAAACTTAAGTTGCTAGCTTCTCCCAAATACAATGAATTGAAGGGAATCGTTATTATTTTGTACCCTCTTTCTCAAAACATACTTCTCTTTGCATTTTGTATTTTTATCTGATCCAAGCCAGTTCAAGTGCCAGATCATATTATCAATATTTTGACTTTATGAAAAACCTCACCAAAAAAGAATTCCCCTGTGCCAAATGGTCATTTAAAGCTAAATTACCTGGACCTGACAAGGATCTCCTCAAAAGCTGCCACATCCACTGCTCTGCAGAAATTGATCCATGTTTCTCCATTGTCCACTGAGTAGGACAGGGGCAGACCAGGATAACAGCTCCTCATTTCCAGTAAACCATCACCAGTTACTCTGCATAAATAAACTCAACACAATAATAAAATAATTTCTACAGGGTTAACAAAATACTAGCATATGTATGATAATGTAGCCATAAAAAAGAGTTTTTAGATATTCTTTTAAAATAATGAAATGTTTTATATTAATTTTGAAAATTACAGTTCAATGGCATTGACACATTGTGGGCACATTAACATTAGTAATTCATGCCTCAAAACTGACTAACGTTTGATAATTAAAAAAAAAAAAAAAAAAACTGAACTATCTATTTTACCATTTTCTGTTTTTACATTTTAAGGACTAGAAAACTAGGCTGGGGGTACATTTTGAATAGTTTTTGAGAACTTGCGTAAATTTTTATCCGTCATAGCAATATTTTAAAACCCTAAAATGTTATAGGTGTGAATACTTTCTTTGAACACCAAATCTGTAAGAGTAAACAGGTCTGTTCTCCCCACTTATTTGGTACAATTTAAAGCATTGAGTTCTGGCTCATGTGAGACTAACCTTGCTCCTGGCGGAGGTATGTGATAAGGAATTTTATCTGCCTCCAGACGTAACAGCTCCTTGTGTCCTAAAGTGTGGGCGAATGATGACCACTCGACTTCTTCTGGGGATTTCCTCTTTTTTGGGTCAAGGTCTTCCCAAGGGGATTTGTGCCACGCCCTTTCAGCAAGCGCGATGATACGAGGAAAAATCATTTCATGTAACTGGCTAGAAGTACGGACCAACTCTGTCCAAATTTGACCTTGAAGTCCTGTATTTAAAATTATTGTTAATAACTTTTTAATTGTATATGCTAGTTACTACATTGGATATGAGGATATAATAGGGAAGGCCTTCCATCATGATTTTTTAATATTAATTTTATATAAAATTTAGTTAAATTCTTAATATTTATGAAGTTCCAGTATACTGAAAAGAAAAATTTTAATTTAATATTATGCATCAGCATTTAAAATCCCATTTTCTATGAGGAACTCATCAGGTTTTTTTTTTTTTTTTTTTTTTTAAATTGCTATTTGTTTTCCAAAATGTTAATGTAATGATTTTAAGACTGCATAGGTGAAAAGGTATCAATTTGAAGGCTGATCATGATACGAAGAGATATCAATTGCCATGATCAAAGGTAAAAATATTTTTTTAAACAGGATTGCTGAATTAAGTCATAATTTAATTAATAATGAAATTTTTTGGGATCATAACATTAATGCAAAAGGAAAAGGTGAACTGTGAAGCACAAGTGTAATTTTTATCAAGGAAAGAATGTGTAAATCACTCCTCTAAAGTGTGTTAACTGTTCAAGTACTTGCCAATATAAACTTTTATTTGTGTAATTTTTTTTACACATAAAAACATTTGTTATTCAGTTCTTTATGCAAATATGACAATTTGTTACACAGATATCAAACCAGTGTGTACCTATAACATTGTCTGATTTCTTCAATAGTGTGAAGTCCTCTGTTTCTGTCAAGAGCTCCAGGTCTAGTTTTGTGATTTTCTCCCCAGTGAGTTTGACATCAGCGTTGGACATGAGATTTTCAGGGGCAAATTTAAACACTTTGTGGGTGTCAATGTACCTACAGGCCCAAAAGAGTCCCCTTTCTTCAGGGTCTGGTTCATGAGGGTGATCAAAGTAGAAATGTGTACCAGGGGCAAGGACTACCTGAAAAAAGTAGGACAAGGCACAGAGACTTACCGTTGAGCTTGTCAAAGGGCAGTTGTGTTTGGATATAATAAATATTATGTAATAAGAAAAATGAATCAGTTTTTAAAATGTAATTACACATTAAAAAACAACAACATAATGAACTGCTCATTGAACTAATGTTTAGAAATATAATTCTAAATGAATTTTTTTTTTCCAACCCCAATTTCAGTAATTTAATTAGACTTATTTTCCTATCTTTAAATTTAAATGAACCATGGCTTTTAAATCAAAGTAGAATTATAGGCTAAAAGATATTTTTTATAACTGCTGAATTTCGTTTGGACTAAAATGTTTCATGACTGCCCTCATTTAAAAAAAGATTATCCAAAAATGTTGATGTAAATGGAAGCAATTGCTTTGTGAGATTCTCTTTTTAAAAAACGGACCTTGTAACCTTCATTGGCCAGCTTATGGGCATCATAAGCCTGACCAGTCTCCCAGACATTCCTCCAAAAATGTACCAAAACATTCAAGTTGGGAAACTTGTTTCGTTTATATGGACCTTTATTCTTTACAACCTGAAGGAGTGGACAAATTAATTGAATAAATAATACAAAGACATTTTCAATCAGTAAAACAATATAATGCTGGGTGTAGGAAGTGAAATATAATTACTTTAAAAAAAATATCAAACTTACATGCTTTCAGTCAATTGAATTTTTAAAGGTCCTTATTTTATATCATGGAGGATGGCAATCAATGACATTAAATGTTTGACTAAGTACACACATTTTTAACTCTGCTCCATTATATTTGATAAAGTTTTCCCTTCGATGTTTTAGAAAAAATACAACAATTTCCAACACATCTAAATAGACAAATCATTATCAACACATCTAACTACACACATCATTACCAACACATCTAACTAGACACATCATTGCAACACATCTAACTAGACACATCATTGCAAAACATCTGACTAGACACATAATTACAGCACATCTAACTAAACACATCATTATAGCATTCTAGCCAGACACATCTTACCAACACATCTAACTAGACACATCATTACCAACACATCTAACTAGACACATCACTACAACATATCTAACTACACACATCATTACCAACACATGGAACTAGACACACCATAGAAATTTTATCTTACAATGCCATCTTGCCAGGCCCCCAGCTCCAGTCCATGTTTGTATGTCAGCTTGCCAACACGTGTCACAAAATATTCCATCAGGTCTTCCATGGATTCTATAACTTTTGACTTGACCAGTGCTTGACACGAGGGTGAGTCATCCCAAGCCTCATAGGGCACTTCATCCCCTCCCAGATGAAAGATTCTCAATGGCTGGATGTCTTTGTGCATTTCTTTCAGCTCTTTAATAATCTAAAAGCAAGAGAAATACTAATTGAACACACCAAAAAAAAGTATAATAATATATTTAAGAAGTTAGGTTATGATTTTCTCTCATTCTTTCTCTCTCTCTCTCTTTCACTCTCTTTTTTGTATGGTTGTGTTTGCTGTTGAACGCTTTAAGCAGAAAAATTCTTTTCAATGTCTTGTATTTTCATTCAAGGTGGCATGCATTATTTTCTTACCATGCAAAAAGTATGAGCTCTTTAAAAGGAAACAAGTGCCATTCTTTCATAATTAAGAGATGATATTTGAAAGTCACATACACATTTATAGAAGAAGTCATACCAAAATGTAGAAAACATTAATGTCAAGCAAGAACAGCCTCACTTGAAAAAGATTTAACAAAATCAAGGAGTTGCATTTTAATTATAGAAATTATCACTTGACTAGAGTCTAACTGTTTAACTAAAAAAGACTTTTTTTTAAAAAACCTTGTCTATGAAAGTAAAGGTTGACTCTAGACCAGGGTTCATGGAGTTCTCAGCTAGCATCTGAACAGAGAAGGCATGTGAGCCACAGTTTTCCTTTGGGTCAGACAGCAAATACTTCTCTGCCTCTTTTTGCTTTTTCTGCAAAAAGGCATTAGGAGAGAGAAAAACAGGCTACACATTTTTGAAGAAAAAAACTTTAGCATCTTTTAACATAGTACATTTAAGAAAAAAACTGCTTAATACACTTCAAAAATTTTTGTCTGAAATTTTACAAAAATCATCCCTAAATCTCTTGTTTAACAATACAACTTAAACCAGATTTCTCTTCAAGTCTTTATTTAAAAACTTTCCTTGAACTCACCTGAGACATTAATCTGTTGTATCTAACCGTCATTGCCCGAACTGCGGCATGGCTGTGTCCTGGCATGTCTATTTCAGGAATGACCTCAATGTGCCTGGCCTTGGCGAATCTAAGAATCTCCTTGTAGTCTTCAACACTGTAATAGCCACATCCTAGGCCAGTCGGGAAAGGGCCAGAACCAAGTAGGGGCAGTAAGCAGGTGTCTTCTTTAGGGTCATGACCTCTTCTTGATCCTATCTAAAAAAAAGAATATTTAAAAATATATTCACACTCAAAATTCTTCAATGAGTTTTTAAAATCATTCTTTGAGTTTTGCTTTACATATAAGCAAGCAAATAGTTCTTCTGATTGAAATGTGTTCTTGTAAAAACTGGTAAGATCGATAACAATTAGGTAAAGATGTTTAAAATAGAATAAAGTTTTGAAAACTAGTGGCAAATAAAGTAGAAATTATTAATTTAAAATAAAAAAAATTTGAGCTAGTGGGGTGGTCTGCAAATCCCGACTTGCGAGCCGGATGCAGCTCTTTAACAACCTGAGTGCGGCACGGCCAGTTGGCCACTAATCGGTTTCATGACAGGTTCGTAAAGAAAAGTTTGGCTCTCAACAAAACTTATATCGTCCCGCTGCTGACTTTTGGCACTTTTGACTAATGGGTTTGCCGACTACTGAGCTAGTGTATTCACAGTTGATGGCTTTTTAAATTATCTAAAAATTCCAGCTGAGTTTTAACAGAATATATTTTTTTTAATCATAAGAAGATGTTCAGATGATCTTGCTTTATTCTTAAAGTAATAATTTAATGACAAGTTCACAAACTTTCTAACCTCAGTCAGTTCTTCCAGCCCTGGGATTTCCAGCCTCCATCCCTCATCATCAGACAAATGAAAATGCAATTTATTCAGCTTATATGTTGCCATAGAGTCTAGAAGTGTGAGGACTTCTTGTTTGGGGTGAAAGTTGCGTGATATGTCTAGGTGCATGCCCCGGAAGGTGTACCGGGGTACATCTTTAATTAAGCAATCACTTAGGATCCCGGCTTCCTTATCTAGAGTTGCTGCCTGTAAACTCAGCAATGTCTGGACACCATAGAAAGCACCAGCAGATGTATTGGCAGAAATCTGATTTCAAAGAGAATTAAAACTTTAAAATGATAAGATCTGTTGATAGTTTGAAATATTGTGCATTATGCAAACAAAACAGTGTGGATTTTTTTAATAAAGTAATTGAGAAATGTTAATTATTTTTAACTGGCTCATTATATAGTATTGAACACCATTAGAGAAACATAATTTGCAAATATTGACAGGAAGAAATTGCCACACTAAAAAACTGCATTGCCATATTTATTCATTACTTTCAGTTTTCATATAGGTCAATGTCTAATGCCAAATTATTGTCTTGATTTTATGGGACTGTAAAACAAGAACTTAACAACATTGAATGCTATGAAATATGTTGAAAAAAATTAATGTTACCTAACAAAATATGTATCACCATAAACAACATACCTCAATAAATTCAGCAGATGTATCAACAACAAGCTCATAAGCTTCAACATCTGGAAGTCCATTTATCACTGGTATCACCTCAGATTTCTTCAAGGATATAACTTTATTTGGCCTTACCCCAGTTGTACATGTCATTTTCTTACTGGATATTGGAACACCTGTTTTATCTGACAAAAAATAAGACAAATTAAACATTAATAAAACAAATGTTGGAGAAAAACTGGCATCATCTTGTAGATCAGAGGTTCCTAAACTTCTAAGGTTGGGGGGCCCTAGTGAGTGACTATGAATGGGTGAATGTCATATGAACAAGACAGTCTTGTTTTTTTTAAAGGTGGTTTTGAAACGAGACTTAAACACTGAAACGTTACAAGTTTTCCCCAGTTTCTTACTTATGTTGTTTAAAGGGATCAGCAACATAAGGCTCAAAGACCACCACTTTGGTAAACACTGTTATAGATGATATGTAATAAGGAAACTTGAAGTTTTGGTCTTACCTAGTAAATAGAATGCTTCATTTATAAAATCTTCATCAGGTGCATCTATAATCCAATTATTGTCTTTTAAGTTAAGGGATCCAACACCTCTCATTTCGGTGAGAGCTGGAGTTGGTGTAACAGTTTTTAAATGGCTTTGCTCTTTGCTGACCGCAGGATAACGAGAAAACCTGACCTCTGGTGAAAATGGCTGATAGATATCATAGCGGTGTTTCCCTGTAGGTAAAATATAGTCAAAACGCTTGTACTGCTTAGCAGCATCAAAGCTGCCCACAAATTTCAAAGACTCGCCTTCTGTACTTTTGATAATGCGGGGCTCTAAACCTTGAACATGAATGTACCAGTTTGGGAAGATGTCGGTACGAGATGCAGAGTAATGTTGAGCATTGAATTTGAAAGACAAAGTGTCACCATCATGTAAGGTCTTGAAGCTCTTCAGTGGACTGAGTTTAAAAATACAGCCATTCAAATGTGAAAAGCACACTCCTGCGTATTCCAAGTTAACACTGGTGTCTGCTGGGAGATATGTTGGCTCTACCATTCGTAGATGGGAAAAGTAGATAGACCACTGTGGATGTTGTGTTGAGTAGCTCAGTGTCACATTGCATTTATTGGTAATTGTGATAGAAGCACTGAATAAAGCTCTACCTCCACTTAAATTGTCTTCAACCTGAAACAAAATATTAACACAAAAACATCAATGAAACAGGAAATAACAAATAATTGACCTTGAATAAATGATATTATTATTATTTATAACCATCATAAAAACATTTAAATTTAAAAACAGCTAAATTAGTTTTTAGTTTATTTAAAAGTTCAGTTATTAAAACAATTGTCATTAAAAACATGTTTTAAAAATATAATTGATTAAAAAAGTTAAAGATAACTACAGTGATAATGAATTATCAACCTGATATTTGATAACTACTGTTGATGCTAAGAGATCTAGATCTTCTTGAGTTTGTATAGTTTTAATTGAGTCCTTGAAGTTAGATTTTCCACTAGACATCTTGAAGTCTGTATTCAGATTAGCTACATATAGAAAACAGAAAAATAACATAAAATAAAATATATGGTCTTTTTTTTCAATGATTCTTTAGTTACAATACTAATAATAATTGCAAACTACTATATTTGAACTTTCAACGTTATAGTTTTTATAGTTTGACAATTTGAGTGACTGAATTTTTTTCAATCTGTAAATAATTTTACATTTTCTAAGAATATACATTAAAACTGATTTAAAGACACATCTATTTCGCAAACACCTTCTGGGATGATTGTCTACCATATTTTCCAGTTAACGCATATTGGCTGTGTTGCTTAGGGTTGAAATGGGTAGAATGCTTTTGACTTGGTATGCTTGTAATTAGTTTTGTAGTGTTGCGTTTGTTTTAAATGTGGTAAATTATAGGTTTTTGTGTGTGTTTTTTTTTACTTTGTACCGCGCTTCAAGCCTTTGAGGATGAAGCGTGTTTTTTAAATAAACTTTAATATTATTATATTCTTACACCTGGAATTTTGTGCAAAAAAATACTTTTTTTTATCATTATCTCCAAGTGTATTATTTTCTCCAACTCCAAGGCCAAGTGTTCCAGCATTTTTTAAATATTTAGAACAAAACTTTAACATTTATATATTAAGATATAGAGAGGCTATGATAGTGTCTTAGAATATTTTTAGTTTAGGCTTCAGCCCTAATGCCTAATTCAAGTAATTCTTATACTTATCTTTGAGTGATGCTTAAGCTGGCTAGGGGTTAATCTAAGTGGTTAAGTCAAGTCCACTCAAGACTCAAGTCCTACCGGCTATGCCCCTGGTACATGTATTTCTAATATCCCAATTACAAAACTCTTACTACTAGTGCTAGCCTACTTAAAGGTTTCAATGTTTGCAATTGATAATTCAGTTTGGTGACAACAAATTACTCACTGACTGTTAGTATAGGGTGACCAAATAATGAACTGGAGAAAATGGGACACACCCAAGGAGGGTTGAGGGGGGGGGGGGATACCCTTCCCTTTTGTAATTTAACAAACTCTGAGGCATATCATAAACGAAAACAATAGTTTTGCAGTGAATACTTATTTATTTATACATATTTTAAAACTTAATACAACATAACAAATTAAATGCAGCCATCATGTGAGCCCACATCACTAATTACTAATGGCACTGGCTACACAGCTACCCAAAAAATTACTTAAAGTTATATGATAAATTAGGAAGTTTTAGTGATTTGAAAATGTGTTTGGTTTTAGAAACGGGACATCTAGGTGTTGCGAGTCTTTTTTGGGACACCGGGTACGATCATGATTATGAAAAAACGAGACAATCCTGTTGTTAATGTTACCGGAAATTTGGACACCCTATATTAGAATTCCTATTCAGTCTATTCACTATTAATATTACTATTACACTACCAAACTAATACTACCACTAGGCACTAGGGTAATCCCTTATCATGACTTAATTTCTAGTGACGAAATAAATTTAAAATTCCTATTTACCTGATGAGAAACTACATTTAAAACACTTCAGACTTCGGTGGTTACAATAACTATAACATGTATGTATTGTTTTCCATTACTAGTAGTTAGTTTAAGTTAGCAAAAAAGTATATAGTGGTATATAGCCTGTAACTGTAGTAGTACAGCTACTATTTTATATTAATTTATAATTATGGCCTACCCAGGCTAAGCTACCAACAAGTTGCACTCACTTTCATTCTATCGTTTAGTTTGCTTAGCCTTCATTCTATAGCTTATTAGAATTTTTGCGAGGAAAATCAAAATTAATGCAACATATTTTAAAGATTTCTGTAAAATTACAAGGTGCAGACCTAAGTTAATTAAAGATAAAAGTTTTATAAATTGTAATACGCTTTGAGTTTGAGGCGAATTCAGACTCCTGCTAAGTGAAACGGAACAGCTTCGTCTAGATATATTTTTTTCAATTTCACTTCTAAAGATTTCTGCTTCCGTTGTAAACAATGATGGCAGAAGATAGTCTGTTTGGAAACGTTATCAATGTAATTGAAAGAAATGTCACGGATGCTTTACGACGCAAGGGGATAAAAAATGAAAGGAAAAGCATCGAGGTTCGAAAAAAATCTCGAGATTTAAAATCTGGAGATATCATTTTACCAGCTGGTAGTATTAAACTTAACGACGTAACGAAAGAGAATGTAAGTATTTACTAATTAATTACTATTTCTGGTTTTAAAAAAAAGGCTATATTAAGGAGGGATGCCACTGCGTCTTTTGTGTGTTTATTATAGTTGCAGTGAATTAGGGTTTAGGTTAGGTTGAGGGATCGATTTATGATTTAGGGTTCAGGTTAGGCATAGGGATCGATTAAGGGTTAGTGTTAGGCATAGGCCATAGGGATCGATTTAGGGATACGTTCGTGAAATTCGATGAAAATGTGGGGTAAAAGTGCAGTTCAGGTGTGTATATTATTTCTTAGCGAATTTCGTATTTTAAAAATTTTTATCATGTAAACTTACGTGTATTCTTTAATAATTAAATACAGGCAGTTATAGTTAACTAATTCTGAATTATAAATTGCATTGGCATTTGCATCTTTTCTTTTTATTTTACTTCTAAAGAGTCTTTAAACATCCCCCAACCAAAGTGACACAGCCCCATTTGTTTGTATTTTTATTTTCACCTTATGCCAGATTTTTAGCCACCTATAAGTTAGTATGCTAAACAAAATTTTCAAACTGTAAGCATGTTCACGAAAAAGAATGAAATACTAGATTTTTCATTACGCACAAGCGCCCCCCCCCCCCAAATTTCTTTCTTTTTTTCCTCTCAGAGCCCTCGGAATATAGGGGTTGTCCTTTGAAGTCGGGTCGGGGGGGGAGGGGGGAGATTAGAAGTGGATCACTGACTAAGGCAGTGGACACACACTTCATCATTGTCCTGGACCTGGTGTGAAGCTGAAAAAAAGAAAAGGGGTGGGCGGTGCACGAATACGTGCCAATGTGTGATCACGTGTCCACTTTTTAAAAAAAATAAATATTTGTGACGTTGCAGAAATGCGGGAAATCGGAATGATAGCGTGGGGTCATTTTGATAGTCATCTCACCCTGAAGGCTGCTAATACGCTGTCCGTGATTGGTCAGCTCTAATTTGAGTACCCCTCCTCTTTTTTCGTTTGCAAATGCGCTTATTAATGGTGACTGATTTGTGCTGAGTAAAGTGAGGGCTAGTGATTATTTTTTTTATATTATAAGATGGACATGTTGATGCAACGGGCATTTTTAAAGGTGCAGCATTTGGTTTATACACGCACCTTGTGGGGCAACAAATAACGTTAATACAACTGGAATTTCTTCTAAGGCGCTCGTAACAATTGCAATGTGGCTTGTAAGCTGGGTTCGTATGTGAGCTCCCTATAATTACCGGGATCTGCATATCCCAAAACGGGATCTCACCCGAAACGGGATCTCACCGTAACCGGTATCTAGAGACCGACCGAATTTCGGCTTCGGTTTCAGCGCCGAAAGTGGCCATTTTATCACTTTCGGCCAAGTTTTGGTTTCGGCCGAAACTGAAAAGTTAACTTTCGGCTTAATTTCGGTTTTGGCCGAAAGAGAAAAGTTAACTTTCGGTTTTTCTTTGGTTTCGGCCGAAATTGACTTAGACATCCGCCCGAAAGTGACTCAGGTTTTCGGTCATTTTAATACTCAGTGAAAGCGATATTTAACAACAAACTAAACCACATTTAAGAACAAATTAAGCGATCTTTGAGAACAAACTAAACGATATTTAACAACAAACTAAGGGACATTTAAGAACAAACTAAGCGATCTTTAAGAGCAATCTAAGCCAGCGGTTCTCAACCTGTGGGTCGTGACCCCTTTGGGGTCGCATGACCCTTTCTCAGGGGTCGCCTAAGACCATCTGAAACACATATGCTCTACAGTTATGAAGTAGCAACGAAAATTATGTTGTGGCTGGGGGTCGCGACAACACGGGGAAATGTATTACAGGGTCACGGCATTAGGAAGGTTGAGAACCACTGATCTAAGCGATCTTTAATAACAAACTTAAGGCTCTAATAGAACAAACTAACGATTTTTAAGACCGAACTAAATGATCTTTAAGAACAAAACAAATGATCTTTAATAGTAAACTAAATGATTTATAAGAATAAACTAAGTGATCTTTAACAGAAAACTAAATGTTCTTTAGGAACAAACTAAAAGATCTTTAAGAAAAAACTAATCTATCTTAAGGAACAAAATTAATTATCTTTAAGAACAAACTAATCTGTCTTAAGGAACAAAATTAATTATCTTTAAGAACAAACTACTGACTAGTCGGTGAGATTCGACTGAAACCGTCGCGGAGAGTCACGTTATAGATATGAGAATGGGGGAAACGCGCCGGCGCATTTACACTAAACTTTTCTGTAATGTAGCAGGCCCCAAAATATCGTCTTTCGGGTCACAAATGGCTCACGGGCCGCGAGTTTGAGACCCTTATATTAGATGTTTATTTATTAATATTCACGATTATCTCATTTTTTATAAAAAGAATGTAAATGTTTATACTTTCCCACATCATTTTCGATGTATGCAGAATGTATGCGGGAACGAATTTCAAAATATCTTAATATTTCATTTTCGGCCTCGGTTTTGGCTTCGGTTTCGGCCAAAATTCATTTTTAACTTTCGGTATTTTTTCAGTTTCGGCCGAAAGTCATTTTAAACTTTCGGCCTATTTTCGGCTTCGACCGAAATCAGAAAATCACTTTCGGTAGGTCTCTACCGGTATCCCACCGGGATTGGTAACACACTGGATCGGGATCCCACCGGGATCAGGATCTCACTTGGATCAAAATCCTATCGGAATCGGAATCACACCGAAATGGGATCCCACCGGATTGGGATCTCATTTAGTTTGGGATACCACCGGAAACGGATCGCACCGGGATCGGTATCTTACCGGGATCGGGATCCCACCATGACCAGGATTCTATCGGAATCGCATCGAGTTCGGGATCCCATCATGATCCTTCCAGGTGCCATCAGAAAACGGGAAAAACGAAAGGTTTACATAAGTTATTTTAAGTGTTTTTATAAGAGACAACTTAATTATAATTTTTTTGTACTATAGTGTTGTTTTGTTGTTGACATTTCCTTTAATAAAAGGACGTAGCAGATTTTTTTTCTGAATGTAGCCCCGGGCAACCCCGGTTATAGTTGATAGTAAAGTTATAAAATAAATACATCATTTATTTTAACTAGATTCATCCAACTGGGCAACTTTTATAAAGTATCTTTAAAGACAGAAGATTTACCACAGTGGCTCCGTAAAACACAAAAGTTTCATAAAATGTACTTTTTTTATCTCATAAAATTTGTTAAATTGTTGTTGTATTCTAATAAAAAGATGGTATGTAACTTTTGAAATACTTTTTATAAAGAATTAACACAAGTTTACATGGGAAAATAAGAGATTCAAACAGAAATAATATACGCACCTGAACTGCACTTTTACCAAATGTGGCATTCGTCCTTAAAATTTACCTAAAAATTAAAAAAAATATACAATTTAAAAAAAAGTTAATTCTCAGATAATCCATAGTAATAGCTATACTAAAATGTTTCAGTTCCTTGCTTCAGTTCAAGAATCATTTGTCGGGAATGAATGCTTTATCTCTAAAGTTGTACAAGATCAGCACAGTCTTCTGTCTTTCTACTTAGACAGACCAAAGTTTTGCAAGGCTGTTCTATCTCAGGTAAATATAAGCAGATAACATGATTGTATAATGCATTTTGTTGCCTTGCTTTTAAAAATGAGTCAACATAAGCAATTTGTATGCTATTATATCTTCTTGCATTCGTCTTGTTCATAACATACAGTGCTTGAAATGTACCATACATACAGTGCTCTTGAAATTTTAAAATCATAAAGTAGAGAATACTCATGGGCAGACATTTTTCCAAATCTATTTTCCAGGTTGATAAGAGTGGGGTTAAATATGGCATCAGGAAAAAGGAAGCAGGCAAAAGTGTATTCCTTCATCCTTGCTATTCAAGCTCTTCAACAGTTGGGAATTCACTAACAGACCTTCGTATCTTAGCTGTACAAAACCATTTAAAATTTATCCTGGAAGCTAATGGGTAATAGAAAACTGTTTAAACCCTCCTATTTTAAGTAATTTAAATGGTTACAATTACCTAAAATTTGTATGACAGAAGTTTGTTTGAAATAACATTGTTTGATGGATGTTTGTTGGAATGGAATTATGTTCAAACAGAAGTTTGTTCAAGTTGAAATAGTGCGGGGAAAACACCCCAAAAATGTTTTATTTAAAAGTGTACATCTTCCCCGTAAAAGTGTACATCTTCCCCGTAAAAGTGTACATCTTCCCCGTTTCTATTAAAAAGTAATTTGGAAAATAAATCAATTAATCTAAATTTAAGTTATTTTGTTCAAACAAACTTTCGTTTGAAGAAACTTCCATCAAACAATTTTCACTTTGAACAGATTTCTTTCATACAAATTTCCATGCATGCATTTACATATCACATTTAAGACATATTGTTACATATGTATTTTTTCTTCATCCTTTTTAATGTGGAAAATAGATGTAGATTTAATAACCAACCATTTATACACTTTAATTAATATTTATTATTTCTAGGTACACTGTGCACCAGTCCAGAGAAAGTGAAGGTGACTTAAAAGCTTTCCTGGAAAGCTCAACCATTGATGACACAAGCCAAAAATTGGAACAGAATAGAGAAGGAAACAACTTCAAACCAGAAAATGCTTCTGTTTTAACTTATAACATTGTTAGCAGAGCAGAATGCTCAGGTCTTTGTCTGAGAAATTTAAATAATGAAAGTCAAGCTTATAAAGAACCTGGTGCAGAGAATCATTCAAAGCTAGTTACAGAAAATTTAGTCTTGGACCTTAAGCAAATAATAGCTGAAAATCAATTGTTTATTGGGAAAGATGGGTTTGACAAAAACCTTAACAAAGTAAAAGGTACGTTAAAAAGCTTGATTTCATATTTTCAATATTATGTTAAAATTTTACTTGAGTAAGGCGAATAGCTTGAATTACATTACAGGTATAACAAAGTAGTCAAATGTATCATAATTATAGCTTTACAAAGTTTTTAGCAGCATTTTACACTCACTTGATCACTTTACCTTTGGGGAAATGAAATTTTTATTTGTGCTAGATTTTGTCATGACAGTACTTTGCATTACCTGTACAAGAGGAGTTTCTTTAGTGTCAGTTTTGACATAAGTCTCAAATGGCATCATTTAGGCTCTATTTCTGTAATGCTCTCCAGTTTATGAAAACAGTCAACCCACAACTATTTTAGAAGATGTAGTCAGGTTTGGTGAAAAACTGCACAAGTTTTCTGAGACAGAGGTATATTTTGTAATTGTTCTGTTAATGTACTTGGTTATTTTTTTTATGTGAGTTACATGTAACAGAATATCCTCAATGATTAATTGCTGTCTTTTTTTGTCTTCAACAATTACATCTTTTTTTCTGTACTTTGTTTACATTAAGTTTAACATTGTTAACATTAGTTTATTTCCTTTTATGAAATCACATTGAATCAAAAAGTTTAATTAAAAGTAACTTGAAAGAAAAATTAATGTTTTTTTCTCTTCTGCCACCAGTTGTATGGATGTGTGCACATCGTTCCCCAAAGCCTCAGTTTCAGACAACAACAAATTCAGCTTACCTGGATGGCATTAGGACAGAAGAATCTTTTGCAGGTAAAGTAAAAGTTGACTAGAATCTCTTTGGTATCAAGTTTCATCATTGTTTGTGTTTAGCCTAAAAAATTATTTCTATCTATAGCAGGGGTCTCAAACTCGCGGCCCGGGGTCCATTTGCGGCCCGCCACATGACAGCAAAGTTTAGTGTAATGCGGCCCGCGAGTTTTCCCCATTCTCATATCTATAATGTGACCCTCCGCGGCGGTTTCAGTCTAATCTCACCGACTAGTCTAATTCTGATTTTTTATTATGTTTGCGTAGATTTGGACGTTGATTATAACGGTAAAAACCGTTTTAAAAACGGACTAAAAGTTTTTATTTCATATCATTTCATGAGACAAACAAGGTGGCTAAAGTGCGGTTTTGAGAAAAGTTTAAAATTTTAGCTATTGGGTAATGCACAACCACAATTGTGTAAATCGTAGCGATCTGACACAGTATCAAAGAATCCCTACTAAAATTGCCCCTACCGTTAACGAGTTAGGGAAATTTTCAAGCATGTGAGCTTAGTTCCATTTCAATATAGGGTTAGTCAATAAAGCCTTTTCTACGATTAAAAAAAAAAAAAATTCATTCTCCCTATAATAGCATCTTCCTTCGTATCAATAATTCATAAATATTGCCTAATCCTGCCTACTGTTTGTAGTCTGTACATATTTTAGGATTTTAAATCTTCATGAAGAAAGGGGGGGGGGGGGTTCTGAACTAAGTGATCTCAAATGGCTCATGGACTTTGCTTTTCTTGTTGACATTACCCAGGAGCTGAATGTACAAAACAATAAGTTTAGAAGACCAGGGGTAGCTTGCCAGTGTTGCCTCTAACAATGTCAGGGCATTCAGCACAAAATCTGTGTTATGGTTCTTAGAGAAACCTCTGCCATTTCCCAACATGAAAAGTACTCATGGATTCGTGAACACCTTTCAGTAGTGAGTATACTGATGCCATTGCAAAGCTACAGGAAGAATTTGATCACATGTTTTTAAACTTTAAAACACAAAGAGCAACTTTTCAACTTTCTGCTGATCCTTTCTCCTATATTGTGGAATATATGATTTGAGTTTGAGAACCCTGATCTATAGTTTTTTTTTTTTTAAAGTGAAATAATTGTTAAAAAATAACTTAATATTTTTATGAAACTTGAAGAAATAGATAAACTAATTTTAAAAATTGATTATTTGGTTCGGTTCCTTTTTTTTTTCAATAACTCATCTTTGGTACCTGTATTTTAGTTTTTACTTATGTTACATAGCTTAAAGAAACCTTGCCTTTTCTATCCATTTTTTTTCATTTTTCTTCCATTATTATTCTTTATAAAGATAAGTAAAAATGTAAATTCCAATTTTCCCCACTCATCTTCTTAAGAGTCAGCTTGTTGTTGGTCCAGTCACAAGCAAAGGCGATGCTGGAGGATCAACAGAACAAAAGGAATCAGCTCAGAATTTTTACAGGTTGGTTTTATTGGAAAAAGGTACTTTTAATTTTATTTTTATTTTTCGTTTCTGTACTTTTAAAAAAAAATGTAATTCTCGTAAGAAAAAGACATTTTCTGGTATATTCAATCTTATTATCCTAATTCATTTCTACACAATTGAAAATGGAAAAACGTGTTGGACTCTGAAAAAGCTTTTAAGTAGATTAATGAAAAGGACAGAATTGTTTATATTTTAAATATACATTTTTTTTGTTTTATATACGGTATACATTTGTTTTGTTTTATTCAATTAATGCATGTCAATTAATTATTTCAGATTTTTATTAATTGTATGTACAGCGTGGTGAGCCCAGCCCTAGGCTGGGGTACCACGCTATATAAAACCATGTATGATAATAATAAAAAAAAAAAAATAAATAAGTATAAGAGAATAAAATCAATAAAATATACTGTGATTGATGTGAGAAGAAAGGACTATTTGCCTTCTTATTTTGTACTCGTTGATAGAAGGAATATTGATCAGTAGATATTTTAATTTAAAAAATTAAATTGCACAAATCAAAATTTCATATACGGTAATTGATTCTTTAGTTGTTAATACTAAAAAATAAAACTTGTTTCAACATGGCGATTTCGACATGGCACTTAGCTGCTGATATTTGATATATGAATTATATGTCACTGAATTGCGTCATGGATATATAACTCAATTGTAAAATATAGAATACCGTCTATTGATCCTCTTATTTTAAGGGCAAGATATGAGCAGATGAAAGAAGCTTCAGAAACAAGATATGGTGATGAGGCAGATGGTGAGTGTAATATTTTGCCTCATAATCTTGTGTTATTAGAATTGCATATAAGATTAAAAGAGCTGAAAATACTGTGTGTTTGTTCAAGCTTTGGCAGTTACCTCATTTTGGTGCACTATGCACAACCAAAAAAATGGCGTAATTGAAATCATAACAATTTTATGTTTCTTTTTTTTTTTTTTTTTGCCTTTTTTTTTCTCTTTCAGTAAGAAATCATTTTGATTTTTTTCTTCTTTTTTTTTGACTTTTTTTTTTTTTTTTTTTTTTTTTTTTGCCTTTTTTTTTCGCTGTCAGTAAGAAATCATATTGATGTATCTCTTCTTATTTCTTGACATTATTGTTTTGTTAATATTTTGACAAGCTCACAGAGTTCATCAGTTGACCTGCATGTGTGTAAAAGTTGACCTGCTTGGTAATGCTGCACACATTCCTGTAAGTCATAGAGCTTTGTTTAAAATTGGGATAATGCGAATAAAATTATTTCTGTGCAGTTACAAAGAAATTTGTTACTCTTATCGATTTAAAACGTAAGAACTAAACTTCTGCATTGCTATGATCATACTGGTTTTGTTGAAAATGGAGCTAATTAATTGAAAGTTAAATAAAATGTTTAATTTTGATTGTAAACAGCTTCATCTAGATCTAAATAGTCAGGGCAAGGATGCTGAAAACAGACAGGGGGCCTTTATCCTGTACAACGCAGCCAGATTAGCCACTTTAATGGAACACTTTTCAAAGAGAGTACAGACAGGTAAGAGGACTTTCTGGTAGCTGGTGCTTTTGTGTTGTTGCCATGCTTCATATCCTTAGTGAGCCTGTTTTATCCACTGGTGATGAGAGGATTGCTGGTGGCTTACTTTGGTGTTGATGGGCCGCGGATTTGAACCCCAGGCTGTCGGCATACTTGTACTGAGTTTAGCGCCTGTGGCATGCTGCAGCCGCTTAAGATTATTAGTTTTTCGTAGCCATTTTAAGTATACCAGGTGCTGGTAAAACATCGAATAGCCCCAAAGCTGAGGCAAAGGGTTTGGTTCTTTTCGAAACTTTGTTTAAAAAAAAAAGTGTGACTTATACTCGAGTATATAATATATGGTACTTAATATGTGTTTTACTTTGTACTTGACCAGGTATTTACCAAGCACTCCCACCAGTGGAAGAGATAGACTTCAGCTTACTGAGAGAACAAGTAGGGAACATTTCTGTACCTTACCAGGAAAATTGATTAATTATAAATGACTGTATCCCAAGAGACTTAAACTTTAAAGGGATACAACTCAATATTTGAAGGGGCAGGGTTAACCTATTCTAGGAAAGAATTAGCACAAGGTTGGGGAAAACTTAAAAAATAAACAAAGTCATTTTTGTCTTTGTTCATCTTTTCCTCTACATTTTGCTACTTATTCATATTCCTTAAACCTGATGCAGACCCTTCCTCCCCCATTTTTTAAAAAGTGCTCACTTTTACCAGTCGTTATATTTTCCGTGGGTGTGACCCATCCAAGTGGTTGTACAATCTATTAAATGTATTTTAGACTATAATATTTACAGTCAAACTGGCAAAAAAAACAAACAATTAGGCTTGATATGATTAAATTTGAATATTCCTTTTCTAAACTTTTTTTCTTTTAAATATTGATTCGGTTAAGTAATCATGACAAAATATTGTCAATAATTCCCAAATGAAAACTTGAACTCATTTTAAAATCTGCACAATACATTGTGCATACCTCCGTTTGAAATGCAGATACTAAAAAACTAACCTGTAAGAGTACTGACTTTAAAATTTAAACTAATATTACCCCAATTTTCATTCACAATATGGGTGACATTAAAAACCACAGATGTATCATTCTTCAGATATCACTTGCCACTAGCAAAATTGACTCGCATAGACTTGGAATCATTTAATTCACAGGATGACTGGGAACTGGTTTATTTGTACATAGCTGCATTTCCTGATTTGGTCAAACAGTCAGTGGAGCTCATCTTCCCAGCTGATGGGAAGTGTGTGGCCAAGCTACACACTCACAAGGTGAATAGTGTTGTCTTATTTCTATTGTTTTTACTCACCAATGTCAATGTATTATGTACTGGATCAATGAAAAATCATGTTGTCATTAACATACATACTTAAACTAAAACATGTTAATTACAAAGCAAACACATTTTATCACTTGCTCACTGGCATTAGTGCAATTAATATCAATACAAATGAGTGTCTTTTTCTTCCATTCTATCTCAACCTTGCTTATTATCTTTAAATGGTATACATATGTCGATCATGATGATTGAATGCTTTTATAGCTCTTGTATCCATGCTATTTTAGCACGCTCACACCGCTCTGAAGTCATAAAATATATTCAAAGAGATAAGTCTTTCAATGTTTCTTAGATGATTTTTTTATCCTCTTTCAATTTTCCTCAATGATTGAGGCAAACTGTTAGATAATTTAGGCGCTACGGCTTCAAAAGAACGCACTCCGTCTGACTTCTTTCTGTGTCCATCCACATTGGGAACTCTCTGTAAGGACTGTGTTGAAGAGCGCACTCCGTATGACTTCTTTCTGTGTCCTTCCACACTGGGAACTCTCAGTAAGGACTGTTTTGAAGAGTGCACTCCGTAAGACTTCTTTCAGTGTCCATCCACACTGGGAACTCTCAGTAAGGACTGTGTTGAAGAGCCCACTCCGTATGACTTCTTTCTGTGTCCATCCACACTGGGAACTCTCAGCAAGGACTGTGTTCTTAAGCACAAGGAATATTTATCCCCCAAAACTAATCTGAGCTGCACTCTAATTTTAAAATAAATATTTTGGTGGTACCCTGTGCTCACTTCTGCTTGAAAATATCTTGTAAAGACAAATCCTTTCACAAAAACTTTTAAGAACTTAGGCTATTCCATCAAGAACTTAGGCTAATCCATCAGGAACTTATGCTAATCCATCAATAAAATTAGGCTAATCCATCAGGAACTTATGCTAATCCATCAAGAACTTAGGCTTATCCAACAAGAACTTTGGTTAATCCAACAAGAACTTTGGTTAATCCAACAAGAACTTTGGCTAATCCAATAAGAACTTTGGTTAATCCAACAAGAACTTTGGCTAATCCAACAAGAACTTTGGTTAATCCAACAAGAACTTTGGTTAATCCAACAGTCTAATCCAGTTTATTTTATACAGGTGACCAATTTTCTGGTGTCCTTCTGTAAGAGTCTTAGTGCCCACTACAGCAGACATCATGTCTTAACTGTAAGTTCACTCGATTAGTTCTTTAATATATTATCAATAACAGCATGTTCCAACATGTATTAATGAAGAGCTAATAGATTTAAAAGATTAATTGACTTACTAAAAAACCGAATGTACATATTTTTCTGAACTATAAAAGATGTCAAATGTAATCAGTTAAAAAATAAATATTGTGCATGACGGAGTTCTGTTGATAGTAATTTATTATTATTATTTTTTTTTAACATGGAACTGTTTAAAATACACTTCTTCATTAGGAAGGTGACGGCCATTTGTTACCCCTCATGTATGCCAGACTGTATCTGATGAAATCAGCCCACCAGGTCCTAATCAATTCACTTCACTTACTTGGAGTTGATCCCCCCTCCCATCTATGAACTGGTAGGTAGGGCTTAGTTTTAATTATTAAGAATATAGCATACAAGATAATTACTAATTGTGTAATGTAAGTATTGTAAGACAGACGGTTAATTTTAAGCTATGATTTTTTGTTGCATTAGTTTTTAATTTATTGCAAGCCACCACATAAAAAAAAAATAGTTTGATTTCTGCTAAACAAGTTTTGCCTTCTAGTGAGTGCTAGTAGAATATTAGCCTGTCAGGCCTGTAACTTGAGCTAGATTCTTTGTTAGCCAGTCAGACAAGTAACTTGAGCTAGATGCCTGGTTAGCCAGTCAGACAAGTAACTTGAGCTAGATGCCTGGTTAGCCAGTCAGACAAGTAACTTGAGCTAGATGCCTAGTTAGCCAGTCAGACAAGTAACTTGAGCTAGATGCCTGGTTAGCCAGTCAGACAAGTAACTTGAGCTAGATGCCTGGTTAGCCAGTCAGACAAGTAACTTGAGCTAGATGCCTGGTTAGCCAGTCAGACAAGTAACTTGAGCTAGATGCCTGGTTAGCCAGTCAGACAAGTAACTTGAGCTAGATGCCTGGTTAGCCAGTCAGACAAGTAACTTGAGCTAGATGCCTGGTTAGCCAGTCAGACAAGTAACTTGAGCTAGATGCCTGGTTAGCCAGTCAGACAAGTAACTTGAGCTAGATGCCTGGTTAGCCAGTCAGACAAGTAACTTGAGCTAGATGCCTGGTTAGCCAGTCAGACAAGTAACTTGAGCTAGATGCCTGGTTAGCCAGTCAGACAAGTAACTTGAGCTAGATGCCTGGTTAGCCAGTCAGACAAGTAACTTGAGCTAGATGCCTGGTTAGCCAGTCAGACAAGTAACTTGAGCTAGATGCCTGGTTAGCCAGTCAGACAAGTAACTTGAGCTAGATGCCTGGTTAGCCAGTCAGACAAGTAACTTGAGCTAGATGCCTGGTTAGCCAGTCAGACAAGTAACTTGAGCTAGATGCCTGGTTAGCCAGTCAGACAAGTAACTTGAGCTAGATGCCTGGTTAGCCAGTCAGACAAGTAACTTGAGCTAGATGCCTGGTTAGCCAGTCAGACAAGTAACTTGAGCTAGATGCCTGGTTAGCCAGTCAGACAAGTAACTTGAGCTAGATGCCTGGTTAGCCAGTCAGACAAGTAACTTGAGCTAGATGCCTGGTTAGCCAGTCAGACAAGTAACTTGAGCTAGATGCCTGGTTAGCCAGTCAGACAAGTAACTTGAGCTAGATGCCTGGTTAGCCAGTCAGACAAGTAACTTGAGCTAGATGCCTGGTTAGCCAGTCAGACAAGTAACTTGAGCTAGATGCCTGGTTAGCCAGTCAGACAAGTAACTTGAGCTAGATGCCTGGTTAGCCAGTCAGACAAGTAACTTGAGCTAGATGCCTGGTTAGCCAGTCAGACAAGTAACTTGAGCTAGATGCCTGGTTAGCCAGTCAGACAAGTAACTTGAGCTAGATGCCTGGTTAGCCAGTCAGACAAGTAACTTGAGCTAGATGCCTGGTTAGCCAGTCAGACAAGTAACTTGAGCTAGATGCCTGGTTAGCCAGTCAGACAAGTAACTTGAGCTAGATGCCTGGTTAGCCAGTCAGACAAGTAACTTGAGCTAGATGCCTGGTTAGCCAGTCAGACAAGTAACTTGAGCTAGATGCCTGGTTAGCCAGTCAGACAAGTAACTTGAGCTAGATGCCTGGTTAGCCAGTCAGACAAGTAACTTGAGCTAGATGCCTGGTTAGACAGTCAGACAAGTATCTTGAGCTAGATGCCTGGTTAGCCAGTCAGACAAGTAACTTGAGCTAGATGCCTGGTTAGCCAGTCAGACAAATATCTTGAGCTAGATGCCTGGTTAGCCAGTCAGACAAGTAACTTGAGCTAGATGCCTGGTTAGCCAGTCAGACAAGTAACTTGAGCTAGATGCCTGGTTAGCCAGTCAGACAAGTAACTTGAGCTAGATGCCTGGTTAGCCAGTCAGACAAGTAACTTGAGCTAGATGCCTGGTTAGACAGTCAGACAAGTAACTTGAGCTAGATGCCTAGTTAGACAGTCAGACAAGTAACTTGAGCTAGATGCCTGGTTAGCCAGTCAGACAAGTAACTTGAGCTAGATGCCTGGTTAGACAGTCAGACAAGTAACTTGAGCTAGATGCCTGGTTAGACAGTCAGACAAGTAACTTGAGCTAGATGCCTGGTTAGCCAGTCAGACAAGTAACTTGAGCTAGATGCCTGGTTAGCCAGTCAGACAAGTAACTTGAGCTAGATGCCTGGTTAGCCAGTCAGACAAGTAACTTGAGCTAGATGCCTGGTTAGCCAGTCAGACAAGTAACTTGAGCTAGATGCCTGGTTAGCCAGTCAGACAAGTAACTTGAGCTAGATGCCTGGTTAGCCAGTCAGACAAGTAACTTGAGCTAGATGCCTGGTTAGCCAGTCAGACAAGTAACTTGAGCTAGATGCCTGGTTAGCCAGTCAGACAAGTAACTTGAGCTAGATGCCTGGTTAGCCAGTCAGACAAGTAACTTGAGCTAGATGCCTGGTTAGCCAGTCAGACAAGTAACTTGAGCTAGATGCCTGGTTAGCCAGTCAGACAAGTAACTTGAGCTAGATGCCTGGTTAGCCAGTCAGACAAGTAACTTGAGCTAGATGCCTGGTTAGCCAGTCAGACAAGTAACTTGAGCTAGATGCCTGGTTAGCCAGTCAGACAAGTAACTTGAGCTAGATGCCTGGTTAGCCAGTCAGACAAGTAACTTGAGCTAGATGCCTGGTTAGCCAGTCAGACAAGTAACTTGAGCTAGATGCCTGGTTAGCCAGTCAGACAAGTAACTTGAGCTAGATGCCTGGTTAGCCAGTCAGACAAGTAACTTGAGCTAGATGCCTGGTTAGCCAGTCAGACAAGTAACTTGAGCTAGATGCCTGGTTAGCCAGTCAGACAAGTAACTTGAGCTAGATGCCTGGTTAGCCAGTCAGACAAGTAACTTGAGCTAGATGCCTGGTTAGCCAGTCAGACAAGTAACTTGAGCTAGATGCCTGGTTAGCCAGTCAGACAAGTAACTTGAGCTAGATGCCTGGTTAGCCAGTCAGACAAGTAACTTGAGCTAGATGCCTAGTTAGCCAGTCAGACAAGTAACTTGAGCTAGATGCCTGGTTAGCCAGTCAGACAAGTAACTTGAGCTAGATGCCTGGTTAGCCAGTCAGACAAGTAACTTGAGCTAGATGCCTGGTCAATGCAACATCACATCTCTCCTTTTTCCTGTTGTGGTTTGTAATTGTATGAAACATCCTTAATACTTTCAATAAAATATCAAATATAAATATAACAGAATCAAAAGTCTTACAATGCACCAAATATCTACTCTTGCAGTCATCTTTTTACCAGCCATTCCTGGGAGATACATACACATTTACACCAGCCATTCCTGGGAGATACATACACATTTACACCAGCCATTCCTGGGCCATACATACACATTTACACCAGCCATTCCTGTGAGATACATACACATTTACACCAGCCATTCCTGGGAGATACATACACATTTACACCAGCCATTCCAGGGAGATACATACACATTTACACCAGCCATTCCATGGAGATACATACACATTTACACCAGCCATTCCAGGGAGATACATACACATTTACACCAGCCATTCCTGGGAGATACATACACATTTACACCAGCCATTCCTGTGAGATACATACACATTTACACCAGCCATTCCTGTGAGATACATACACATTTACACCAGCCATTCCTGTGAGATACATACACATTTACACCAGCCATTCCTGTGAGATACATACACATTTACACCAGCCATTCCTGGGAGATACATACACATTTACACCAGCCATTCCTGTGAGATACATACACATTTACACCAGCCATTCCATGGAGATACATACACATTTACACCAGCCATTCCAGGGAGATACATACACATTTACACCAGCCATTCCTGTGAGATACATACACATTTACACCAGCCATTCCTGGGAGATACATACACATTTACACCAGCCATTCCAGGGAGATACATACACATTTACACCAGCCATTCCATGGAGATACATACACATTTACACCAGCCATTCCAGGGAGATACATACACATTTACACCAGCCATTCCTGGGAGATACATATGCATTTACACCAGCCATTCCATGGAGATACGTACACATTTACACCAGCCATTCCTGGGCGATATATACACATGGCACACATATCCCCCAACATTCATTTCTCTTGATTTTGGGACATACAGTACGTATATTTAAATTTAAACTGTCTGTTACGCGTATGATGTTAACTTTTAAAGTCGATAACACTATGGCAACAGGTTTGCAATGATAAATAAAAGATTAGTCTCTTTTGAAAAATTTCCCTTCATCCCTTACCACCAGGTATGAAAAACATTATTGTCAGAGTAGTGACACATGATAATCTATTCTTGTGAGAGTAGTGACACATTATTGTGACAGTAGTGACACATGATAAATTTTGAGAGTAGTGACTTGTGATAATCTATTATTCTGACAATAGTGACAAATGATAATCTCTTATTGTGACAGCAGTGACAAATGATAATCTCTTATTGTGACAGCAGTGACAAATGATAATCTCTTATTGCGACAGTTGTGACAGATTTAATCTCTTATTGTGACAGTAGTGAAAAATTATAATATATTATTGTGACAGTAGTGACAAAGGATAATCTCTTATTTTGCCAGCAGTGACAAATGATAATCTCTTATTGTGACAGTAGCGACAAAGGATAATCTCTTATTTTGACATAAGTGACATATGATAAACTCTATTGTGACAGTAGCTTTCAATCTCTGAAATAAGAATTCAAATTTTCCTTTCAGATCCTGTTGGGACCAAATTAGAACACAGTTTGGGACCAAATTAGAACACAGTTTGGGACCAAATTAGAACACAGTTTGGGACCAAATTAGAACACAGTTTGGGACCAAATTAGAACACAGTTTGGGACCAAATTAGAACA